ATAGATAGATAGATAGATAGATAGATAGATAGATAGATAGATAGATAGATAGATAGATAGATAGATAGATAGATAGATAGATAGATAGATAGATAGATAGATAGATATAGATATAGATAGATAGATTAATACTATTAATAGTTTGTAATTTATAAAACATGCATACAGACAAAGAAACATAAACGTAAAATATGTATATTATATGAATTATTGTTTAAGTATTGGTATCTAAATTTTATGATAAGATAAAATCAATTGATGTTCGGGAGGCCAAATGAGCGATAATTGAATGATGCTAAAAGATATTTGTAGTTGTCGTGCGCTTGCTGTTTTTCAAAAAGCTTTTATTGAATGCTTAAAATGTCATGTCAACTCTCTGCTGGAGGGCAATAATGCAAATTTAGATTTCTTAGATAAGATAGTAATATATTTTTTTTTCTTATTTTATCAATTTGTAATAGAAATACCCTATAGTTTCAATAACGATTTTTCTTGAAGTTGATATTTTTTTTGATATTTTCTTAAATTAATGATGTGGGGTCGATTTCAAGTTAATTATATAAAAATTGATTTTTGTTAGAATTTGAATCGAAGTTTAGAAGAAATTTTAACAAACTTTCTGTCTTACCTTGCTTTTAAAACGTCAAAAAGTTGCCACTCTTTTATAGACATATGGCAACCTAGTATTCTTTACTAAATGTCATTTACCGTTACAATACGCAGGAGCTGTAAACAAACACTCACTCTCTCTCATAAATGCTGTCTTTTTGATACTGAACTTTAAAAAAGGATTTTTTTTAAAGCGAATTCATTTCATATCAAATAACACATACCGAAAACAAAAACAATACATTTCATACATTTTCAGTTGAGTGTTTTCCTTCAGCATGATGATATTGTCTACTTAGTTGTAATGTTAATTGTAAAACAAAACAAAAATGTGCTTCAAAAGAAAAAACTATATCATACAACAATTTAATTCTTTTTATACTAAGTGCAATATTTCAAGAGCTCCAAGACTAATATAGTCTTGTTTGTGGATCTCTCCGAAGTGTATCAATCACATAATAAAAAAAAAACTACACATATGTCCTTGGTTCCCCCAATTAAAATGCCAGGACAATATGCAAGTGATAGAATTTTAAAACTTAATCGTGAAAGTGAAGTTTATTAAATGATTAAAGTGAAAGCTGAAAATATTAACGAAAGTAATGTAATTTAAACTGCCATTTAAAATAAGAAAATAAAAATAAAAGAAAAATTATAAAGAAAATATTACAATATTGATATTTTAAGGCAAAACATGCAAAAACACAACAAAGTCATTGCACTAGAAATATTAATCAAGGACATTTCTAGCAAAAAATTATCAGTGTAGTGGCCCAAAAAATAAAATGACAACAATATGTTGTATATAGAATTAATAATGGCCAACATTTTGCATTAACTACAATTTTATATTGTTGCAAAAACAACATCTTAAATTAAAATTAAAAAGAGAAAACAAAACGGTAAGAAAGAAATCTTTTATTATTTTTAGTTTTTTTTTTTTCTTTAAAGCAATAGCAAAAAATACCATTGTACCAAGCAGTAACACTTAGAAATGCATATACCCTCTCGAATACCTAGAAATGTATACACACAGTATCCTTACAAGTCTAACTACTATACATTTGTATGTAAGTATATGTATGTATGTATGAATTAAAAGCAAAAAAATAATGAAAAAAATCGTATATTCATTCATTTGTACTTGCATGTGTAGTTATATACATATATGTGCTGGTATGTGTATATACTTTATTATATACTTATGAATGTATGTACTATATAGTTTAAATTTAACATACTTTTACCTTAAATACCCTATACACTAGACCAAATAGTGTTAATTAGTCCACCGTCTAGTCTATAGTGTAGTCTAAAATCTAGTCTTTAGTTTGGACTTTAGAGTAGTTTTTAGTTTAGACTATAGTCTCGTTTTTAGTTTTGACTATAGTCTAGTCTATAGTTTTGACTATAGTCTAGTCTTAAGTTTGGACTATAGTCTAGTTTTTAGTTTAGACTACAGTCTAGACTATAGTCTATAAAATACTGTAGTATAGTCGAGTCTATAGCCGAGTATATAGTCTGGTCTATAGTCGAGTATATAGTCTGGTCTATAGTCCAGTCTATAGTATAGACTATAGTCTAGTCTATAGTCTAGTCTATAGTCTAGTCTATAGTCTAGTCTATAGTCTAGTCTATAGTCTAGTCTATAGTCTAGTCTATAGTCTAGTCTATAGTCTAGTCTATAGTCTAGTCTATAGTCTAGTCTATAGTCTAGTATACAGTTTAGTCTATAGTCTAGTCTATAGTCTAGTCTAAAGTCTAGTTTGTAGTCTAGTCTATAGTCTAGTCTATAGTCTAGTCTATAGTCTAGTCTATAGTCTAGTCTATAGTCTAGTCTATAGTCTAGTCTATAGTCTAGTCTATAGTCTAGTCTATAGTCTAGTCTATAGTCTAGTCTATAGTCTAGTCTATAGTCTAGTCTATAGTCTAGTCTATAGTCTAGTCTATAGTCTAGTCTATAGTCTAGTCTATAGTCTAGTCTATAGTCTAGTCTATAGTCTAGTCTATAGTCTAGCCTAGTCTACAGTCTGGTCTGTAGTCTACTCTTTAGTCTGATCTATAGTATATAGTCTGGTCTATAGTCTAGTCTATAGTATAGACTATAGTCTAATCTATAGTCTAATCTATAGTCTAGTCTATAGTCTAGTCTATAGTCTAGTCTATAGTCTAGTCTATAGTCTAGTATATAGCCTAGTCTATAGTCTAGTCTATAGTCTAGTCTATAGTCTAGTCTATAGTCTAGTCTATAGTCTAGTCTATAGTCTAGTCTATAGTCTAGTCTATAGTCTAGTCTATAGTCTAGTCTATAGTCTAGTCTATAGTCTAGTCTATAGTCTAGTCTATAGTCTAGTCTATAGTCTAGTCTATAGTCTAGTCTATAGTCTAGTCTATAGTCTAGTCTATAGTCTAGTCTATAGTCTAGTCTATAGTCTAGTCTATAGTCTAGTATACAGTTTAGTCTATAGTCTAGTCTATAGTCTAGTCTAAAGTCTAGTTTATAGTCTAGTCTATAGTCTAGTCTATAGTCTAGTCTATAGTCTAGTCTATAGTCTAGTCTATAGTCTAGTCTATAGTCTAGTCTATAGTCTAGTCTATAGTCTAGTCTATAGTCTAGTCTATAGTCTAGTCTATAGTCTAGTCTATAGTCTAGTCTATAGTCTAGTCTATAGTCTAGTCTATAATCTAGTCTATAGTCTAGCCTATAGTCTAGTCTATAGTCTAGTCTATAGCCTAGTCTATAGTCTAGTCTATAGTCTAGTCTATAGTCTAGTCGAAAGACTAGTCTATAGACTACAGTCTAGACTATAGTCTAGTCTATAGTTTAGTCTATAGTCTAGTCTATAGTTTAGTCTATAGTCTAGTCTATAGTCTAGTCTATAGTCTAGTCTATAGTCTAGTCTATAGTCTAGTCTACAGTCTAGTCTATAGTCTAGTCGAAAGGCTAGTCTATAGACTACAGTCTAGACTATAGTCTAGTCTATAGCCCAGTCTATAGTCTGGTCTATAGTCTGGTCTATAGTCTGGTCTATAGTCTGGTCTATAGTCTGGTCTATAGTCTGGTCTATAGTCTAGTCTATAGTCTAGTCTATAGTCTAGTATATAGTCTAGTCTATAGTCTAGTCTATAGTCTAGTCTATAGTCCAGTCTATAGTCTAGTCTATAGTCCAGTCTATAGTCTAGTCTATAGTCTAGTCCATAATCTAGTATTTATGTATAGTCTTTACTAAATCAGCACTACTGACAAATACTACAAAAAATCTTTAAAACATCTTAAAATTATTGATTTCTATGTATCGTTACCTAATTATGTATCTTATCTCAAATGATAACAATTCTTGTAATAGTGTTATCATAATGTCGATATCTAACATAAATTATTGCGTTTTTTCTTTCAGTTTTACGTGAAACATCTAATACAAATTTTAAGTGTTAGTTAGATACTATAAACGCATTTTATTATTCAATTAAATTGCTTTTTATCTTTTTTAACTATATGAGTAATACGTAGTTTGAATCAGTGATGCTGAAATGACTTTTTTGCAATAATATTGAAAGTAGGAAATTCTGTGGATTTTCAATTTAGAATATACTTTTATTTAGGTTGTATACATACATATGTTGGTAATTTTAATTAGACTACACAAACTATTTGTTATTAAACATTTAACTAGTAAAAATATATATAAAAAAGTGTTGTTTTCCTTAAACGAAACTGAATAGTATTTAAGATGAGTAATAATAGTAATTTTATCTATTTTACCAAATAAATCATTGACGTGCCAATCAATTGTGTAGTTATTTCCCCCATTTAACAAATACACATCCATTTGAAATGGTATATACATACAAACATACATTAACCACTCACATATCAGAAAAACCCAGCAGTTATTAGAGCTACAAAAGCTACTACATCTAATAGCTGGATAGTAACGGTATTTAGTTTATTAATTTATTGATTACTAGAAGTCAGTCATCTCACTAGCTTTTACTTATTATTTTGAAAACTAACCAGAATATTCAAATCTCTCAAATCTGTTCTGTTAAAATGCTGTCAAAATTTATGATATGTGGGCCACCATTTAGCCTACAGGTTCTATATAGAAAAAAATGTTTACTTAGAAATATTTGTGGGTGTGTATGAATGAGTGAGTGTATTTGTTTCATGGAAAAATGTGTGATGAATGTATGACATTAGATTTTAATTTGAAAGAGAATGCACTCATTATAAGATGGCGGAGCAATTTTACATACATACATACATACATACATACATATACATACAATATATACTTACATACAATATATGGACTTGGGCTTTTAATTAGTGTATAGAAATGTAGTGCAAATTCGCACACACTTAAAAAGTATATACATTAGAACTGCCCCTGAAATTTTAATAAAAATCTAGTTAGTTTTACAACAGTCTAGTTTATAGGCTTGACTATAGTTAGTCGATAGGCTTGACTATAGCCTTGATTACAATCTTGTCTTTTAAATACATATAGTAGTTTAAATTGCAACCTCATCTTGACTGTAGTCTAGTCTATAGGTTAGTCTGTAATCTAATCTTTATTTTAGGCTGTAGTCTAGTCTATAGTTTAGTCCATAGTCTAGACTGTAGTCTAATGTATAGTCTAGCCTATAGTCTTATATATAGTGTAGTCAATAGTTTAGTCTATAGTCTAGGCTGTAGTATAGTCTATAGTCTACGCTGTAGTATAGTCTATAGTCTGGTCTATAGTCTAGTATATAGTCTAATCTATAGTCTATTCTATAGTCTAGTCTATAGTCTAGTATATAGTCTAGTCTATAGCCTAGTCTATGGTCTAGTCTATAGTCTAGTCTATAGTCTAATCTATAGTCTATTCTATAGTCTATTCTATAGTCTAGTCTATAGTCTAGTATATAGTCTAGTCTATGGTTTAGTCTATAGTCTAGTCTATAGTCTAGTCTAGTCTAGTCTATAGTCTAATCTATAGTCTAGTCTATAGTCTAGTCTATAGTCTAGTCTATAGTCTAGTCTATAGTCTAGTCTATAGTCTAGTCTATAGTCTAGTCTATAGTCTAGTCTATAGTCTAGTCTATAGTTAGTCTAGTCTATGTCTAGTCTAGTCTATAGTCTAGTCTACAGTCTAGTCTATAGTCTAGTCTATAGTCTAGTCTATAGTCTAGTCTATAGTCTAGTCTATAGTCTAGTCTATAGTCTAGTCTATAGTCTAGTCTATAGTCTAGTCTATAGTCTAGTCTATAGTCTAGTCTATAGTCTAGTCTATAGTCTAGTCTATAGTCTAGTCTATAGTCTAGTCTATAGTCTAGTCTATAGTCTAGTCTATAGTCTAGTCTATAGTCTAGTCTATAGTCTAGTCTATAGTCTAGTCTATAGTCTAGTCTATAGTCTAGTCTATAGTCTAGTCTATAGTCTAGTCTATAGTCTAGTCTATAGTCTAGTCTATAGTCTAGTCTATAGTCTAGTCTATAGTCTAGTCTATAGTCTAGTCTATAGTCTAGTCTATAGTCTAGTCTATAGTCCTAGTCTATAGTCTAGTCTATAGTCTAGTCTATAGTCTAGTCTATAGTCTAGTCTATAGTCTAGTCTATAGTCTAGTTTATAGTCTAGTCTATAGTCTAGTCTATAGTCTAGTCTATAGTCTAGTCTAGTCTAGTTTAGTCTAGTCTATAGTCTAGTCTATAGTCTAGTCTATAGTCTAGTCTATAGTCTAGTCTATAGTTAGTCTATAGTCTAGTCTATAGTCTAGTCCTATAGTCTAGTCTATAGTCTAGTCTATAGTCTAGTCTATAGTCTAGTCTATAGTCTAGTCTATAGTCTAGTCTATAGTCTAGTCTATAGTCTAGTCTATAGTCTAGTCTATAGTCTAGTCTATAGTCTAGTCTATAGTCTAGTCTATAGTCTAGTCTATAGTCTAGTCTATAGTCTAGTCTATAGTCTAGTCTATAGTCTAGTCTATAGTCTAGTCTATAGTCTAGTCTATAGTCTAGTCTATAGTCTAGTCTATAGTCTATAGTCTAGTCTATAGTCTAGTCTATAGTCTAGTCTATAGTCTAGTCTAGTCTATAGTCTAGTCTATAGTCTAGTCTATAGTCTAGTCTATAGTCTAGTCTATAGTTTAGTTATCTAGAAGGTTATCAAACCTCTTAAAGTTCAAATAAAACATAATAAACTAATAAACATGTTGCAAATGTCAAAGTGGCAGCTATAGCATCATGAAATATAAAATTAAGTGGTCGTGAATTTAATGAGTACAAATTACACATAAAATAATCTGAAAACTATTCAGACATAAAAAAAATTTGGCTTTTTAATGGCACTAACAATAAAAAAATACTACAAAATTGTATAACATGATGGTTCATCGTGTTGAGGACATTGTTCTGTTTTTCTGAGTTTATCTCCCACATTTAAAAGAGCTTTGACCTCTGAACTGTTTTAACAAAACCACCACGACATATTACATATATGTACATATAATTAATTTTTTTTAAGAAATTGTACACAGCTCAAAGGTAAACTATTTAACAAAAACACAACAACAAAGATTTTTTTGTAAAGTCATTAAGGGAATAAAAAAGATTATCACATAAACAGCAAATGGTCCTTTGGGACAGAAGTTAGGCAGACACCTGTTTAATTGATTGAAAACTAACAAATAAGATTGACAAAATGGCTACCAGTTGACATTTGAGTAAACTCTTAATTTTGTGATTTTTAATTTCTTTTAACTGTTTTGGGGAAGTGCGGCTTTTTTGCTGTTGCGTTAATTTGAACTTGTTAATTTTATAATTTTTCCTATTAACGAGTAGCCTTCTAAGGACGAGCATATTTTTGTTGTTGTGTAGAGCTTTTTAAAATTTTGTGGTTGGCTTGCCAGTGCTCATTGACCTTGTTGGGATTTAAAATAAAAATAAAAAAATAAAATATATACCTAACAACAACAACAAAATATTAACTAAACAAAAATTTCTATTTGACTTATAACGGTTTCTTGTTGTTCATCTCTCTCTATATTTTGTAGTATAAAATGGCATGTTGATTTATTTTCCTGAGTATGTCTGTTTGTGTGTGTTGTTATTTTTCGTGTGTATAGGTGCGTTAAATTTGTGTAAATTGGCTAACTCGGAGAAAAACGGCAATTAATTTCACAATAGACAAAATTATGGACTACAGAATATATTATAGACTAGACTAAGAACATCGACTACACCATAAACAGGATTATACTATAGACTAGACTATATACTAGACTATAGACTAGACTAGACTATAGACTAGACTATAGACTACACTATAGACTAGACTATAAACTAGACTATAGACTAGACTATAGACTAGACTATAGACTAGACTATAGACTAGACTATAGACTAGACTAGACTATAGACTAGACTAGACTATAGACTAGACTATAGACTAAACTATAGACTAGACTATAGACTAGACTTTAGATTAGACTTTAGATTAGACTATAGACCAAAATATAGACTGGACTATAGACCAAACTATAGACTGGACTATAGACTAGACTATAGACTAGACTATAGACTAGACTATAGACTAGACTATAGACTAGACTATAGACTAGACTATAGACTCGACTATAGACTAGACTATAGACTAGACTATAGACTAGACTATAGACTAGACTATAGACTAGACTATAGACTAGACTATAGACTAGACTATAGACTAGACTATAGACTAGACTATAGACTAGACTATAGACTAGACTATAGACTAGACTATAGACTAGACTATAGACTAGACTATAGACTAGACTATAGACTAGACTATAGACTAGACTATAGACTAGACTATAGACTAGACTATAGACTAGACTATAGACTAGACTATAGACTAGACTATAGACTAGACTATAGACTAGACTATAGACTAGACTATAGACTAGACTATAGACTAGACTATAGACTAGACTATAGACTAGACTATAGACTAGACTATAGACTAGACTATAGACTAGACTATAGACTAGACTATAGACTAGACTATAGACTAGACTAGACTAGACTATAGACTAGACTATAGACTAGACTACAGACATAAATATAGACTAGACTACAGACATAGAATATAGACTAGACTATAGACTAGACTATAGACTAGACTATAGACTAGACTATAGACTAGACTATAGACTAGACTAGACTATAGACTAGACTATAGACTAGACTATAGACTAGACTATAGACTAGACTATAGACTAGACTATAGACTAGACTATAGACTAGACTATAGACTAGACTATAGACTAGACTATAGACTAGACTATAGACTAGACTATAGACTAGACTATAGACTAGACTATAGACTAGACTATAGACTAGACTATAGACTAGACTATAGACTAGACTATAGACTAGACTATAGACTAGACTACAGACAAGAATATAGACTAGACTATAGACTAGACTATGGACTAGACTATAGATTATAATATAGACTAGATTATAGACTAGACTATAGACTAGACTATAGACTAGACTATAGACTAGACTATAGACTAGACTATAGACTAGACTATAGACTAGACTATAGACTAGACTATAGACTAGACTATAGACTAGACTATAGACTAGACTAAAGACTAAACTATAGACTAGACTATAGACTATACGACTATCCTGTAGAGTATGCTATAGACAACATACTATAGACTAAACTAGATACTGTAACTAAAAACTTAGTTATAGTCTTGATATCTTCTGTTTTATGCTCTTTACGGTAGCATTGATTTCAAATGTATTGACTTAATTTTTTCGAGTGTATTTACTGCAGTAGTATAAATATTGTTAAGTGCTTCGAAACGTATACTCTATATATGAGTTCATATAAAGTATACGTTATTAGCTTATATAGTTTTTGTGGCGACAAAAACTTCCTGTATGGATATGTGTGTGTGAAACAAAGAAAAATCTAAATTCTTTGTTCTTGTATTAAAATTTTATATTTTAAAATTTTTGTTAAAATATTTCCTGTTTTTTTTTTTTCAAATATTTTCTTTCTATGCTGTCAAGTACTTTGAACTTTTTTGTCTTTTAAAAAAGTAGTAATAAATCTTTAAAAAATATACTATATTTTCCTTTAAAGTTTTAAACGGTTGAAACCAGTAACATGCATTTTTGGATTGACAAACGTTCACCACAATGTGGTTTTGGTCGTTCACGGGTGGCTGCTTCTTTGCACACCGGCGGTTCGGGTTTAAGTTTTGGTCATCCCCCACGACGTAGTGGTGGTCATAAATCATCATCATCATCCTCGGGTGGTAATACATCATTGTCAGCCTCTAGTAATGCGGGTATACAAGTCCACCGTCAGCAGCAGCAACAACAGCAAGTGGCAGCCGCTCAGTATCATACACAACATGCTGCCACCACAAGCAATAATGCCCCATATCGTACGAGCACACAATATGCCACTGGTAGCAGCAGCAACAACACAACCAGCAATAACAATAATAATAGCAATACCGCCGCCAATCAAGCTACAAATCGTAATTTTGTTAGATCAAATGTATCAGCAAATCATCATCATTATTACAATAATAATCGCCAACAGACGGCCCACCATCATCATCAGCAGCAACAACAATCTAGCTCTTGTGTTTTACCCAATTCCAGTAATAATAATCTAACATCACCTACCGGCAATAGTTTGAATACATCCTTAAATAATGCTGCTACAACAGCAACAACAACTATTACAACGGGAGCACAACAACAACAACAACATGCACAACGTTATCGTCATCCACAATTTGGTAATATGTCGGTTAGAACTTATCAACCCACTATGCAGCAGCAGCAGCAGCAACCAACAACCACAACTACTCCGGCATTAACATCACATCCACAACAACAGTTGCAAATTCAAGTACAGCAATCGACAACCACCAATATTTCCAATGCCACCAATACTACCACCACCACTAACAACACATTAAATCATCATATAATGGCAACAACAACAGCTGCAGCAGCAGCAACCACAAATCAATTACAACAATCTTTAGATGCATCTTTAAATACATTAAACGAACATGGAATACATCAAAGGTATGTCTGGTAAATGGTATAAATATTGAAGGAAACCAATAATGAAATGTATGGGAGGGTAGATGGGAAATGTTTTACAATTCCAGTCTTAATTTTAATAGTCTACACTATATACAGTCTGGGCTATAGACTATTCTAGAGTCTGGACTATAGTCTATTCTATAGTCTGGACTATAGTCTATTCTATAGTCTGGACTATAGACTATTATATAGTCTGGACTATAGTCTATAGACAATATAGACAATTCTATAGTCTGGACTATAGACTATTCTATAGTCTGGACTATAGACTATTCTATAATCTGGATTATAGACTATTATGTAGTCTGGACTATAGACTATTCTATAATCTGGACTATAGACTATTCTATACTCTGGACTAAAGACTGGTCTTTATAGACTAGTCTAAAGCTTCTATAGTCTGGACTATAGACTATTCTATAGTCTGGACTATAGACTATTCTATAATCTGGATTATAGACTATTATGTAGTCTGGACTATAGACTATTCTATAATCTGGACTATAGACTATTCTATACTCTGGACTAAAGACTGGTCTTTATAGACTAGTCTAAAGCTTCTATAGTCTGGACTATAGACTATTATATAGTCTGGACTATAGTCTATAGACAATATAGACAATTCTATAGTCTGGACTATAGACTATTCTATAGTCTGGACTATAGACTATTCTATAATCTGGATTATAGACTATTATGTAGTCTGGACTATAGACTATTCTATAATCTGGACTATAGACTATTCTATACTCTGGACTAAAGACTGGTCTTTATAGACTAGTCTAAAGCTTCTATAGTCTGGACTATAGACTATTCTATAGTCTGGACTATAGACTATTCTATAATCTGGATTATAGACTATTATGTAGTCTGGACTATAGACTATTCTATACTCTGGACTAAAGACTGGTCTTTATAGACTAGTCTAAAGCTTCTATAGTCTGGACTATAGACTATTCTATAATCTGAATTATAGACTATTATGTAGTCTGGACTATAGACTATTCTATAATCTGGACTATAGACTATTCTATACTCTGGACTATAGACTATAGACTAGTCTAAAGCTCTAGTTCCTCAAATACGATTTGTTTTTAGTAGAAAAATTCTATTATTTTTCATCCTTTTTCTATTTTAGTCCCAATCAAACTGCCAATCTTTCCGCTGAACTCTATCATCAAACATCTCCACGAATAGTAACCTCTTTCAACAGACCCCTAACAGCTGCCACTATGACATCGGGGGGAATTTGTGATTATAGCAGTGTCTCTGCAAATCCGCGCACAACTTATACAAACTCTGCTCTACAGACTACGACCACCAATCTACAACTACATCATCATCAGCACAGCAGTAGACAACGACGTAATACACGTTCCATAGAAAGTACCGATTTACAATTTCTTCCTTTACATCTTAAATGTGGTATCTTTGCTTCCCTAGTCTTGGCCATAGCCTTTATAGTGGGCATTAAAGTCTATTTCGATAATCATGGCACAAAATTTGAAGTTGGTCTATTTTGGCTGCTCACAGCCACATTTGTATTTGCATTTTGTTTTGTTTCTATATGTAAAGTACCCAGGGTATTATTTGCCTCTACAACTTCATCACGTTCGAATTCTCGAGATCAGACTAGAGGAGATCGTTGTAGTATGGATGATGCCGTGGCACGTGGTTCTATGGTCAATTCTATAGATGATGTGGTCATAACCGGATTGCATGAATTTCAACAGGAACAAATACAAAGTATAAATATAAATGCCCAGGCTGGTCCGCCGCCATATCACATAGCTATATTGCTGCCAGAGACAAAAGCTAAAGAAGATATTAGTACACTGGAAGAATCACCACCGCCGTCCTATGACAAAATATTGATATAAGGCCCCCAAATAGTTATAAAAAGCGAACATACATTCATACGAACATTGGGCCAGCAGAAGGAGAGAGGTATTTTAAGAAATATTTTTTAAGTTTATAAATAAGGGCCAATCTTTAGGTGAAAGATTAGCGATTAAATTAAAATTAATCCTCGAAAGATGTTTTTGAGTACTCAATTAGTTAATTTTGTTTGCAAGTTTAAGCGCCCAATGGAGGTGGTTTAATCTTAAGCACAAAATGCAAAAGTGTAAACAGCTGATGCAAAAAAATTAATAAAATTTTTATAAATATAAACATTAAAATGTTCTATTTATTAATAAGTATAAATTATGGACACTTCAAAACACATTTTTTGTTTTTAATTTAAGTTTTCATTAATTTTCATATTAAATTTACAATTGTCTTCTTCTTTTTTATAAAATATACATTGTTTTGATAACAAACAGTGACATTTTCTGTTGTTTTGTATGGCAACACTGCGAAGTTTAATCTTGTACTCAAAAACATCAAAGGGGATTAACATAAGATTAAATTTATTTTTTGATTAACTAATCTGATTATTAATTGGCATTTGATTACCATCTCAAAAACCCGCTCTAAATGAATGGTAAGGAAATATTAAAAAAATAATTAAGTTAAATTATAAGTATTAAAAAATCTATCTAAAATTATTATATTTTCTATTTAAAAGATAAAAAAACTTTGCGTTTAGTAAACAAAATTGTAAACATGTTCTAAAACTATAGACTAATCTATAGTGTAGACTATATGCTTATTCATAGTGTAAACTATAGAAGTATCCATAGTGTAGACTATAGAATAATCCATATAGAGTAATCTATAGTCCAGACTATAGACTTATCTATAGTAAAGACTATACTCTAATCTGTAGTTCAGACTAATTTTTAGTCCAGGGCCCAAATTACGGCATACGATATCGATCGAAATCTCCATTTAGATTCTATTGAGATTTCGATCGATATCGTATGCCATAATTTGGGCCCAGACTATAGACTAATATGTAGTGCAGACTGTAGACTCGTCTTTAGTCCTGACAATATATTAATTTGTAGTCCAGACTATTGACCAATCTTTAGCCAAAGCGAGAGGCCAAGTATTTAGTCAAGACTATAGTTTGAATTTTCTCAAAAACTTTTTGGGTAAATCTATAAACATTTTCCCCAATTTTTCCAAAACTCTTGAAATCTATCGAATACTTTTAAAGTGTAACAAAATTTCAAATTTCTTCCATTAGTAGATAAGAAACATTTACTAAGCAACAACTTAACTAGAACTTTAAAATATTTGAAAATTTTAATTTTCAAAAAAGTGTTAATATTGGGTAATTTATTTGTTTATATTACACTAAACTTAACATTTGTCTATCACTGTATTTTTAATTTTTTTTTTTATTAAATACTTTAAGAAAAGAAACCTAATTTTAAACACAATCTAAGATTGTCAAGCTCAAATTAATTATAATAAATAGTTTTTAATAAAATAAATAAAATAAGTTTGTAAAAATATAAAAAAAAAACAAATTTATCATTAATTATAAAAATATCTATATGTATTTTAAACAAAATATAAACCAAATAATGCACATAAACAATTTTTCTTAACTTTTTAGTAAGCATATCTCTATATAATGCTCTATTTTTCTAAAACATACCTAAACTTAGACATTTTTTACAACTCGCTTCTTTTTTATAGAAATATTCGTAAAAGTATATTAAAGAAAATAATAACGAAATTTGCCAAATTAAATGAAATTAATGATCTAATCTACACTCTATAAAAAACAAATACAATCTCTTCGGTTTAGTTTAAAAAACTATCATTTATGTTCTGTGATAAATCATGTGAACAAAATAACATTTTTTTAATTATTCTGTTTCTATTAAAGTTAGTTAAGAAAACACTTATTATTATTATGAAAAATAAATGGTAAATAAATGGTATAGGAAAATGGTATTGGAAAATTTGAAAAGAGAAATTTAAAAAAATATATTTAATGTTAATATATAGGGAATGGAATATACATTATATTAAAAATACAAATATCATTAAAAATATATATTAAAATAAACATATATAAATGTTTAAAATAAAAGAAATTGTTTTATTTTTGTGTTTGAAATGAATTCAAAAGCAATACTTTACGATATAAAGTTTGCTCTTTAAAATATAACGGCGTTTTTACTAGTGTTAAAAATAAAAACTTGGCAACACATTATAACCAAGAGTTGCCATTTTTTGTTTTAAAACTTGGCAGCACTTTTCACATAAACAAAACACAGCTGTCAAGCAAATGTAAACATTTACAAAAGGTTATAGAAAAACAAGCTTTTTATCGATTATATTTAAAGAAAATTATAAAAAATATCATAAAAAAATAAACGAAAATGACTAGACATGCTAGAAATTGTACTGCCGGAGCTGTTTACACCTATAATGAAAAGAAAAAAGATGCTGCTGAGTCCGGCTATGGCACCAATGCCCAACGTTTGGGTAAAGATTCAGTAAAATCTTTCGATTGTTGTTCTCTTACCCTACAACCCTGCCGCAATCCAGTGGTAACCAAAGATGGTTATCTCTTTGACAAGGAGGCCATACTCCAATATATCATAACCAAGAAAAATGAATACAGCCGCAAACTAAAGGAATATGAACGTTTAAAGAAAATGGAAGAGAATGATGTGACCCAGGAACTCAATCGCAAGCAACAGGAGTGTGTGGAACAGTTTGTTAAATCCGGCAAACCAGTTAATGGTACAGTAGAAAAGCCCTCCACATCACGTGAAGCCAAAGAAGAAAGTTCCATTTCGAATATGGCTAATGGTCATGAAAAGAAGTTGCCCAGTTTTTGGTTACCTTCAGAGTGCCCCAATGCGGGTTTGGCAAAAGCTAAAAAGCCCGATCCTACCATATATTGCCCTGTTTCACAAAAGGTTTTAAAGGCTAAAGATTTAATTGATGTTAAATTTACTTTGGTCAAGGATGGTGACACCAAGAAATCGCTAATAGCCAAGGAGGCCAGATATATGTGCCCAGTAACGCATGATATATTGAGTAATGCTGTGCCCTGTGCTGTTTTAAGGCCAACGTAAGTTAATTACTTTAAAATATAAAAATTCAAACATGTAATTACATAAATAGGAATTTCGAAACTTGAACAAACCACAGCGAATGCAAGAAAAGTTCTTATTCGCATGGAATAAGAAATATTATTGTAGCCGAAACTGCTTCGTTAGGCTGAACATTTTAGATTTTTATTAAACATTTTATATCTTTTAAGCGGTGATGTTGTTACCATGGAATGTGTGGAAAAATTAATCAAAAAGGACATGATACATCCTTTAACCAGTCAGAAGTTAAAGGAAAAGGATATAATACCTCTACAAAGGGTAAATAAACAGATTAACTTATGTATTATAATTCGCATATATTAAAAATTTCTTTTTCACTTAACAGGGTGGCACGGGTTACGCTTTGACCAATGAAAATTTGGAGGGCAAGGAGAAAAGACCCATGTTGCAGGCTTAAATTAAGGAGTTTTATATAAAATAAATATTGATTAAAACATAATGTTGACCCATTTGTTGTTAAAGATAACAAACTATGGTAACCTTTATAGTTTATTGACTCTCAGTAAAACAGATAAAAATCTGTGTTCTATTAAAGATAACATTTCTCTATGACCTTGTTAAACGTAAAATTTTTAGCAATACTTTTTCTCTTATAAAAGACAAACAATTTAAAATGTTCAACATAGTTTTATTAACAAACTAAAGGTTAAAACATACAGAAAAGTTTGCTTTTTAAAATAAACTTTAATTAAAAAAAAAAAAGAAGAAAAATGTTTAAAGTTTCATTTGTTATTATTGGCCTAATAGTAAACCTAACCTTTGCCAAATATTTTGAAGAATGTCTAGAAGTTGCTGAGGATACCCTTATACCAGTAGCCAATGATTGTCGTGCTTATATCTACTGCAGTGATGAAGAGCAATCTTTCAAAGATACTTGTCCTGAGGAAACTTATTTTGCTGCCGAAACAGGAGAATGTCTAATGGATTATGATAATATATGCCCTAAAGCAACACATACAAAAGAGGAGGTTACCACCACAATACCTATAGAAACAACTCCAGCAACAATTACCACCTTTCCAACTACCTTAACAACCATTTATGAACATATTGTTGATAGACCCTCAAGACCTAAATGTGCTCGCCACACGAATTCCTATTATCCCCACTTTGAACGCTGTGAATACTATTACAAATGTGTAGCTGGTTATTTAACCATTTTAAGGTGTAATTTCTATCAAGCCTGGGATTATCAAAAAGAAATGTGTGTTCCTTATAATATAGTCCAGTGTTATGGTACAGCGAAGCTGAGCAATTTTAAACCGAAACTGCTGTAGATATTTAGGCTAAAACTACAAACTTTAAAATTAAGTAAATTATTTTTAATGAAGACAATTTAATTTAATAAGATTTAAAAACTAAGAATATTTAAGTAAAAAAATTTTGTAACTTTTTGGCTGTAGTGCCTCTAGTTTGCCTAGAACAAGGTCTTTTATGAAAGTGATCACAGACTATTAATTCTAATTATTTACAGAATAATATCCTAAGATCATATTTTAAAAATTTACAAATGTTTCTTAATAATCTCTAGAATCTTTTCTTGTCAACAAGATCATCATCTGCATACCCTTTTCATAAAACGACAAAACAATAAAACATTTTTTGTTTAATTATATTTCTTTCTTTAAAAACATTTCATCAAATTAAAACATTTTGTGCACGTTATTGTGGTGAGCATGAGTATAAAATTTATAAACCACGCCAATTGTGTTAAAAAGACGACCACAAATGAGTCTAGTAAATAAATGTTTTTTTAAATTTTCTACAAAACAAATCTACTTAAATTCCACAATTATAATATTTGGGGTATGGGAAATGATCATTAAATCATAAAATTTTGTTTAAAATTTTTCTTATTTAATTATAATAATTTTTTAATATAATTTTTCTTAAATGTTAACAAAAATATTTAATAAAATTAAGCAGCATTAGTCTGGTCTAGCGAAGAAAACAAAAACCTGCAAAGTAGCAATTTATTTAAGGCATCCTACAGTAGGCAAAGGTAGCTACATACAAGGGTTTGATATAATAAAAAATAAAAGCTGTTGGAAAAAACTGTTCCCACTTGAACAGCTTGTAGAATTTTTCAATTCAATTTTAAAAATAAACTGTTCCCAGTTACAATTTGAAAAAAGTTAATAATTATTGGGAATTTTCTGTTGGATTGCAACAATTTCTATTAAAAATCTACTCATTCCTCAATAATTTTAAACTGTTCCCATTAAAAACTAAACTGTTCCCAGTAGAAAACTTGCACAAAAGCGTATAATTACGGGGAAGTTATTATGTATAGCATTGTCCATTAAAAAGCTGTTAATATTTTTAAGAATTTTAAACTGTTTCCATTTAAAAACAAACTGTTCCCAGTTGAAAATTTGCCCAAAAGTATACAATAACGGGGAAATTTTTATTGGATTGCAATGTTTATTAAAAATCTATCAATTCTAAAATAATTTAAAACTGTTCCCACTTGAAAATAAACTGTTGCCAGTTGAAAAATTGCCCAAATGTGCACAAAAATGGGGAAATTTTTCATCGATTGTAATGCCCAAGAAATAGGTGTTGATTTTTTAAAGATTTTTAAACTATTCCCATTAAAATATAAACTGTTCCCAGTTGAAAATTAGCTTTAAAGCACATAATTACTAGGAAATTTTTGTTGCATTTTAAAACTTATTAAATTTGTGTTGATTTTTCAAAAATCTGAAACTGTTCCCACTTCAAAACAAACTGTTCCCAGTTGAAAACTTGTTTAAAAACGGCATAATTACTAGAAATTTTTTGCTAAAAAATACAATTCCTATTAAAAATGTGTTGATTTTCCAAGAATTCTAAACTGTTCCCACTTCAAAATAAACTGTTCCCAGCTGAAAAATTGCTTAAAAGTGCATAATTCCCGGAGAATTTTTATTGGAATGCAATGCCTACTAAATATGTGCTGATTTTTCTAAAATTCTAAACTGTTCCCACTTCAAAGTAAACTGTTCCCAGTTGAAAATTGGGTTAAAAAGGCATAATTCAAGGAGAATTTCTATAGGCATGCAATGCCTATTAAATATGGGAAGATTTTCCAACAATTTTAAACTGTTCCCATTAAAAATTAAACTGTTCCCAGTTGAAAATTGGCTTAAAAACGCATAATTACTAGGAAATTTTCGTTGCATTGTAATGCCTATTAAATATGTGTTGATTTTCCTAGAATTCTAAACTGTTCCCACTTCAAAATAAACTGTTCCCAGTTGAAAATTTGCTTAAAAAGGCATAATTACTAGGAAATATTTATTGCATTGTAATGCTTATTAAATATGTGACGATTTTCCTAGAATTTTAAACTGTTCCCACTTAAAATTAAACTGTTCCCAGTTGAAAATTTGTTCAAAAGCGCATAATTTCCGGAGAATTTTTGTTGCATTGCAATGTATATTAAAAATTTATTCAATCTTCAACAATTTAAAACTGTTCCCACTATAAAATTAACTGTTCCCAGTTAAAAATTTTGCTTAAAAGTGCAGCTTATAATTTTTCGAAGTTTTAAAACTGTTCCCATTAACAAAATAAATAGTTTCCATTTGAAATTTTGATAAATAATGCGTAAAAAGTATATTTTTTGTCTAAAATATTACAAGTAATTAATAAGTTAACAAATCTAGTAATTTTAATGCTTAAAGAAACTGTTCCCATTCGAAAATAAACTCTTCCCACTGGAAATTTTACACAAGAAACCAATAAATTGGAAAAATCTTAATAAAAAGGAATTGTCATTAAAAATAGACAGGAGTTTCAAAACTGTTCCCACTATGATTTTTTGAAATAAAACTAATTTTTAACAATTAAGACTAAAAATAAACCTTACAATGTGGTCTATAAAACTAAAACTATCACCTCTTTTTAAAGACAACAGAAGGGTAGTCTCAGGCACACACACTCTTATTTAAAATGATGATTTGTTTAAATAAATTTTACAACTTGGAGGATGGTGGATTTTTGATATGGAGGGAGGTGGTTTATGTGTACTTTTTGTTTGGCTCTGATTTGGTTATTCATACTTTCTGGGTCTTATAAATGCGTTTGTTGTTTGGTATTTCAGCATTTTGCCTTAAAGTATTGTCACTTATTTATTTAAATTTCTTGTAAATGTAAATTTTCTTATATGTTTTTCATGTTTTTTTTCGCAAATTTTGTAATCGTATGTAAAAAATTTTTAATTGAATGTTGTTGTTGCTGGTATGGCTGGTTTTTGTCTTTTCTTACAGCTACAGGCTGAAATTTATTTATTGTATTTATACCCTACACCACTTTAGTGGGGAGGGTATATTGGATTTGTGCTGATGTTTGTAACATACAAAAATATTCGTATACCAATCGGCTTAGAATCGTTTTCTGAGTCGATTAAGCTATGTCCGTCCGTCCGTCCGTCTGGCTGGCTGGCTGGCAGGCTGTCCATGTAAACCTTGTGCGCAAGGTACAGGTCGCAATTTTCAAGATAATTGGATGAAATTTGGCACGCACGTTTTGCCAAATTGAAAATGGTTAAAATCGGTCCATTATTTCACCTAGCCCCCATACAACAGAACCCCCCGAAAAGGGCTTCTGAGCTCATAATTATGTTAAATATACAGATATATCGATAAAATACGGCACAACTAAGTTTTATAGAAGTCTTGATGACCCTGCCAAATTTCATAAAGATCGGGCCACATTCGACCCTAGCTCCCATACAAAGTCCCCTTCAGAAAGTTACTTGAATGTCCCAAATTAACTTATAAACACAAATATCGCGATGAAATTCAGCACAATAAAATATTATGTCAATATAAATATATTCACAAAATTTTATCGGGCTTGGTCCATATTTGCCCCTAGCCCCCATATAAAGCCTCTTTCAGAAAATTAGTTTTTCATCCATAAATTGCTTAAATGTATCGGAACAAGGGAATATTGAAGATAAATGCTTTATTATGAAAAATAAATCACATTTAATATTCATAACTGGTGTAGGGTATCATATGGTCGGCCACGCCCCGACTATAATTTCTTACTTGTTTTTTTTTTTTGGGGGTCTGTGGAAATTAATACAATTTATTGTTGTCATTTGTTTTTGTAGCATTTTAGCTTTTAACATTTGTAGGCTTTTTTTTTTCGCTCTCTAGTATTTCGTATAGAATTTTAGGTTGTAGTTTATATTTGAAGGTATTTCTTGTCATTAGTCATAACTTGCACATGTTCTGGTCAAGCCAATAAAATGCTTAAGATAAAAAGCAATAGAACAATAATTAATTATACATAATTTTACATAAAATAAACTTTTAACTTAATAACTACTGGCCATAAACGTAACATATAACTTCAGCTTGTAACACACAACGACGCTTAACCCAGTCAAAAGCAAAACCAAGGCGGCAACGTTTAAGTGTTAAAACTGCATTATTACACTCATAATAGTAGAAACAATTGAAAGGATATGGAATATTATAAGTTTGCGAAGGATAACAAAACGGTCGTATAATATTTACAGCTTCTGTATAATTCTCTTTAACTTTTTCCTCTTCGGTGTAGGAAATCGTGCTGGTAGTAGTTGTGGTAAACTTCTCACGACATGTTATAGGATTTCTATCACACGACAACATATCCTCATTGAAATATTGTCCCATCGGACATTCACCCAAAGTTGAACGTAAACCATTGCATATAATATATTGACTACAATTGGCAGGATTTGCTATGATAGTTCCCTTTTTCACATAATTACAGTTTTTGTGTGAAACATAATGTTTTCCTTGTGATATCTTAAGCATGTGGAATGCAACTAAGACAGTTAGAGTTATAGTTAGAATTTTGTAACTCATTTCCAGAATTTACTTTTAATATTAACTTTCAAATATTTGCCAAGAACTGTATAAATTATGTTTTGTTTGCTATTTATATAAACGTTGGCAAAAATCTGTAAATTAAGTTTTTTTCCCTTCTCGATAGCGCTTTAAATGAGATCATGTTACACGTTTTAATTAGACATTTGTTAACAAGTTAATAACAAGTATATGGCAATTCATATCATATCTTTGCAAATATTCTTCTACGACTTTGTTATTAAGAGATCTATTGTTTACCGTCTAGCAAAAAAAACATGAAACTGTTAATGTTTTCTGAGTTAAAGGAAAGCGCAATTTTTTTGTTTCAAATTTAATATTTAAAAAAATTTTAAGTTTTTACGGATTAATTTCTATCTGATACTAAACAATTTTTCTTTAATGAAAGTTGTTGCAATTCAGGGATCATTCTGTAAAAGTTGCTCGCTTTAAATAAACTTTTTCTTGGGGAATATAATCTTTAATTGAAGAAAAATTGCTATCTTATGGACAACTTTTTCTAAAGACAACTTTTCCTTAGGAGAAGTTGCTCTCTTCAAGAGAAGTTTTCCTTGAGATGTTGCTCTCTTCAGGACAACTTTTCCTTAGAGAAAGTTGTTTTAATCTCTACAACTTTTCCTTAAGCAAAGAAGGTCTAATCTCGACAAATTTTCCTTAAACAAAGTTGCTCTAATTTAGATATTTTTTCCTTAAGGAAATTTGCTCTAACCTCGACAAATTTTTCTTAAGGAAAGTTGCTCCATTCTAGAAAAGTTTTCCTTAAGGAAAGTGGATCTATTCTAGATAACATTTCCTTAAGAAAAATTGCACTATTTTAGGCAACTTTTCCTTAAGAAAAGATGCTCTGTTCTAGGCAAAAAACTTTTCCTTAAGAAAATTGTGTTTAATAAAAGTTGCTCTATTCTAAACAACTTTTCCTTAGGAGAAGTTGCTCTATTCTAGACAACTTTTCCTTAAAGAATGTTGCTCTATTTCAGACAACTTTTCCTTAAAAAAGTTGTTCTATTCCAGACAACTTTTCCTTAAGGAAAGTTGCTCTATTCTAGACAACTCTTTCTTAAGGAAAGTTATTCTATTCTAGACAACTTTTTCTTAAGAAAAGTTGCTCTGTTCTAGGCAACCTTTCCTTGAGAAAAGTTGCTCTATTTTAGACAACTCTTTCGTAAGGAAAGTTACTCTATTTTAGACTTCTTTTCTTAATGGAATGTTGCTCTATTCTAGACAACTTTTCCTTAGGGAAAGTTGCTCTATTCTAGACAACCTTTCCTTAGGAAAAGTTGCTTCATTCCAGACAACCTTTCCTTAATGAAAGTTGGTCTATTCTAGACAATTTTGCCCTAAGAAAAGTTGACCTTTTACAGACAACTTTTCCTTAAGGAAAGTATCTCTCTTCAATACAACTTTTCCTTAAAGAAAGTTGCTCTCTTCATGAAGAAAGCTACTTTCTTCATGGAAAAGTTGTATTGAGGAGTGCAGCTTCCTAAAGGAAAAAGAAAAAATCCTAGAATGGAGTAACATTCCTTAAGGAAAATTTATCTTGAAAAGTGCAACTTTCCTTAATGAAAAGTTGTCTTGAAGGGAGCAACTTTCCTTAATGAAAAGTTGTCTTAAAGAGGGCAACTATCCTTAAGGAAATGTTGTCTTGAAGGGAGCAACTTTCCTTAGGGAAAAGTTGTCTTGAAGGGAGCAACTTTCCTTAGGGAAAAGTGTCTTGAAGGGAGCAACTTTCCTCAAGGAAAATTTGTCTTGAAGAGAGCAACTTTCCTCAAGGAAAAGTTTGTCTTAAAGAGGGCAACTATCCTTAAGGAAAAGTTGTCTTGAAGGGAGCAACTTTCCTTAGGGAAAAGTTGTCTTGAAGGGAGCAACTTTCCTTAGGGAAAAGTTGTCTTGAGGAGAGCAGCTTTCCTCAAGGAAAAGTTTGTCTAGAATAGAGCAACTTTCCTCAAGGAAAATTTGTCTTGAAGAGAGCAACTTTCCTCAAGGAAAAGTTGTATTGAAGGGAGCAACATTCCTCAAGGAAAAGTTGAGAAATTTCTATAGAATGGTTTTTTCTTTCGAATACATTCTGAAGTTTATTTATTGTTGGATTTTTTACATTGAACTGAATTTCAGTTGGCAGATTAATTTGATTTAAGAATTTTATTATAATTTTGGTTTTGAAAAAAAAACAATCATTTTAGAAGTTATTTCTTGTAATTAGTCATAACATGCCCATGTTATGGTCAGACTAACAAAATAATTAAGATAAATCAATAAGATAGAGCAATAAAAATACCAATACTAAATAATATTACATTAATAAAAATTTTAACTTAATATTACTAGGGTCCATTAATATAGCATATTACTTCAGTTTTTGGCAAACAACGCAACTTAGTCCAGTCAAAAGCGAAACCCAGGGGACAACGTTTAAGTGCTAAAACTCCATTATTACACTCATAATAGTTGAAACAGTTAAAAGGATAAGGTATAGTATAATTCTGCGAAGGTAAACAAAACGGACGTAAGGCTTCTGTAAGATTTCCATTTCTTTCTGCCAGTTCACTTGAGATCTTGGGCACGTTAAAAGCAACTAAGATTATTAAGGCAAAGTTAAAATTTTGATATGCATATCTGAATTTTGTAATTGTTTTCTTTTTAAATATTTATCAAGAACTAAATAAATTAAGAGTTTGTTTTCATATTTATATAGCCGTTTAAAAAAAAATCTGCAAATTAAGTTCCTTTTGCCTCAGCTTTTGTTCTTGAACATCTTCCCCCAGGTAACAAATTTTAAATTGATATTTGTTAACAAGTATTTTATCAATATTTATTAATGTTTTCAAATATTCTTCTACGACTTTGTTAAATATCTATTAGAAGTGTTTATTAATTAAAAATTATTTTTTTCTAGAAAATTTAATCATTTTTTTTTTCAAAGTAATTAAAGCTGTTTTCTTAATCATAAGTGCAGGTCCATACTTTACCTTAATAAATATAGTTCTCTTTTGATTAAGAAGAATTGGAATCTTTTTTTAACGAAAGTTGCTCTTTTCTAGACAAATTTTTCTTAAAAAATGTTACTCTCTTCTAAGAAATTTTTCTTAAGAAAATTAGCTTTATTTAACTTATCAGCCAGAAATGTTGCTCTCTTCCAGACAACTTTTCTTAAGGAAAGTTACTCCCTTTTCATTGAGAAAGTTGTTACTCCCTTCCATGAAACTTTTTCTTAAGAAAAATTGCTCTATTTAAGTTTTTAGTCGGGAAGGTTGCTTTCATGAAGACAACTTTTACTTAAGGACAAAACTTAACTTTTACTCTAGAGAAAATTACTTTATCTACAGAAAATTTTATAGAAAATTCTCTTGTCTAGACAAATTCTATAGAAAATTCTCTTATCTGGACAAAGTCTATAGAAAATGCTCTTGCCTAGACAAATTTCTACAGATAAATTGTATTGACAACGTTTCTTAAGCAGTTAAGTACAGTTTATATATTCTAGACAACTTTTTTCTAAGGAAAGTTGCTCTCTTCTAGTGTTCTATAAATCGACTTTCGAATAATCGAACAATCGACTTTTTGTCGAAAAGTCGAAGTCGACTATTTTGTTCCAAAAAAGTCGATAACTCGACTATCGTCTGTGAAAAAAGTCGACTTTGTTAATAAAGTCGAAAAGTCTGAAAGTCGGAAAGTCGAAAAAAGTCGATAAGTCGAAAAAAAAGTCGAATAAAGTCGAAAAAAGTAGAAGAAAGTCGAAAAAAGTCGAAAAGTCGGAAAAAGTCGAAAACTCGAATATTGTAGAAAAAGTCAAAAATAGTCCGAAATTTTAAAAAAGTGGAAAAAAGTCAAAAACTCTAAAATAGTCGGAAAAAACTCGAAAAAATAAAAAAATAGTCGAAAAAATTCGAAAGAAGTCGGAAATAGTCAAAAAGTCGAAAAAAATCGAAAAGTCGGAAAAAGTCGAAAAAAGTCGGAAAAAGTCGAAAAAGTCAAAAAGTCGGAAAAAGTCGACTATTTATAAAATACTTATAGTCGAAAAGTCTAGAAGTCGACTTTTAATTAAATGAAAAAAGTCGAAAAATCGACTTTTCATAAATGCAAAAAGTCGAAAAGTCGACTTTTAACTAAATGAAAAAAGTCGACTTTTCGTTTCAACTATAGAACCCTATTCTCTTCTAAACAACTTTTCCTTAAAGAAAATTGCTGTCTAAACTAAACAACTTTTGTCTCGTCTAGAAAAATTTTGTTTAAAAGACACTTTTCTATATTAAAAAGAAAAGTTTTTCTTAACTTTTCTTTAGAAAAACTTTTTTAGAAGAAAAAGTTGTCAAGTTCTGCTAGAAGGGAGTAAATTTCTTAAAGAAAAGTTGTCTATAATAGAGCAACTCTCATTAAGAAAAGGTTGTCTAGAATAAAGCAATGTTCCTTAGGGAAAAGTTGTCTAGTTGGGGATAACATTCCTTAAGGAAAAGTTGTAAATCTCGTTAAGAAACAGTTGTCTGGAATAGAGAAAGTTGCCAATTATTCTTAATGAACAGTGAGCAATATTTATTAAGTAACAGGCATCTTAATGAAAACAATTCAGAATGCAATTGCACATATCTAATGATTAGGAAAACATTTACAGTTTTTATTTTTGGTAAAAAAAAAAAATATAATTAAATTTTCTAGAATTTATTTAATAAAGTCGTAAAAGAATATTTGAAAACATTGATAAAAATATTGATAAAATACTTGTTGACAAAAATCAATTTAAAATTTGTAACATGATTTCAGAAAACCTCAATTAGCAGATTTTTCTTTAACGGCTATATAATATGAAAACAACTCCCGATTTATTTAGTTCTTGATAAATATTTAAAAAGAAAACAATTACAAAATTCAGACATGAATTTCAAAATTTTTACTATGCCTTTGTTGATTCTTGTTGCTTTCAACGTGCACCAGATCTCAAGTGAACTTCAAGGAGAAAACAAGGAAGCCGCAAATCTGAGACATCAATTTTGTTTTCCTTCGCAGACTTATAATATTCCCTATCCATTTAATTGTTTGAACTATTATGAGTGTATTAATGGTGTTTTAAAGATAAAACTTTGCCCCGTTGGTTTCGCTTTTGACTGGATTAAGCTGGATTGTGTGAAAAAAGCTGAAGCAATATGTGCTACATTTATGGATAAGCAATTAAATTAATTATTTAATTATTATAATATTATATACTATTCATAATTTTTGCCCTATATTATTTCTTTATTTTAATAATTTTGTTACAAGAAATAACTTAAAAAATACAATAAATAAATTTCAGAAAGTTTCTGTCTTGTGTAGACAGATTCTATAGAAAAAAGCTATATTGATTTTTTTTGGAATTTATAGTTATTTTAAACTTTAGATTAAGATATCTCGAAGAGGCAAGAAGATATAACAGAGGTTAAACCTTTAGTTAAAAGTCGACAGATTGGACTTTCAGGTGACATAACAAACTTTATAAATAAAAGTTTATTCGCGCGGTTGTAACGCCTCAAACTTTAGGACATGATATCTCGAAAACCTGATGTAATTGAAAAATTCTAAAGCCAACTTCGCATTCAGCACAGCTCAATCCTTTAGAAAAGTATACCTTGGTCTGTGGGATTTTGTTGGCCTGTGTTTTGTCAAATTTGTTGGCCTGTGTTATTTTTTTTCCAAAAAATTACAAATGTTAATGTTTTCTTAATCATTGGATACATGCAATTTCATTTTGAATTGTATTCTTTAAGACAGCTTTTCCTTAATAAACATTGCTCACTTTTCATCAAGAAGAATTGGCATCTTGGCTAGGCAACTGTTTCTTAACGAGAGATGCTCGATTCCAGATAACTTTTCCTTAAGGAATGTCCCCTCTAGGTTGCTCTCATCAAGACAACTTTTCCTTAAGGAAAGTTACTCCCTTCTAGGAGACTTTTTCTTAAGAAAAGTATCATTATTCTTGACAAAAGTTGTCCTGAAAAGAGGAACATAGTTGAGGGTAACATTTCTTAAGGAAAAGTTGTAACTGTCGTTAAAAACACTTGCCTAGGAAAGAGAAAATTGTCAATTATTCTAAATGAAAGGTGAGTAATATTCATTAAGTAACAGTCATCTTAATGAAAACAATTCAGAATGCATTTGTGCGTGTATTTCATGATTAAGAAAACACTAGCTATACCCAGTGTGCTTCGCTACCCTGATCGTAATGAAATAAAATAAATATTATTATTGTAAATGTATAATATCTGAAATATGAAAATGTTCTCACTTACTCCGGGCTCTACGTGCATAGTTTCATATTTCTAGGTTCAATATTATAGAAAACTCAAAAAGTATCTTTTGAAGAACGAAAAAGTACCAAAAAGACCTCTTTTATATATGTGCTCAATTACTCCGCACTCTACGTGTTTAATTTCATGTTTCTAGGTTCAATATTATAAAAAATTCAGAAAGTACCTTTTGAAGAACGAAAAAGTACCAACAAATTCTCTTTTATAGGTTCTCACATAATCCGGGCTCTACATACATAATTTCATGTTTCTAGGTTCAATATTATAGAACTTTCAAAAAGTACCTTTTGAAGAACGAAAAAGTACCAAAAAGTCCCCTTTTATGGGTTGTCACTTAATCCGGGCTCAACATACTTAATAACATGTTTCTAGGTTCAATATTATAGAAATTTCAAAAACTATCTGTCGATGAACGGAAAGGTACCAAAAAGACCTCTTTTATGGGTTCACACTTAATCCGTGCTATACATATTTAATTTTATGTTTCTAGGTTCAATATTATACAAAAATTCAAAAAGTACCTTTTGAAGAACGTAAAGGTACTAAAAAGTCCCCTTTTATAGGTTCACACTTAATCCGGGCTATACATATTTAATTTTATGTTTCTAGGTTCAATATTATAGAAAATTCAAAAAGCACCTTTTGTAGAACGAAAAAGTACAAAAAAATCCCCTTTTATAGGTTCTCACTTAAAACGGACTCCATTTGCTTAATTTCACGTTTCTAGGTTCAATATTATACAAAAATTCAAAAAGTACCTTTTGAAAAACGAAAAAGTACCAAAAAGTCCCCTTTTATAGGTTCTCACTTAATCCGGGCTCTACATGCTTAATTTCATGCTTCTAGGTTCAAACTCAAAAAATTACCAGTCGAAGTACGATAAAGTACCAATAAGTTCAATTTAATAGAAAACTAAAAAAGTACCAGTCAAAGGACGAAAAGTACAAAAAAGTCCCCTTTATAGATTCTCATTTACTCCGGGCTCTACATGTTTAATTTCATTTTTCTAGGTTTAATTTTAAAGAAACTTTAAAAAGTACCCTCCATATGTAGAACGAAAAAGTACCGAAGAATCCCTTTATTATTAATTTCATATTTCGATAATATCATAGAAAACTCAAGAAGTACCAAAAATAAGTACAATTTTTAACCCTTAAACGTCCAAATATTCAAAAAGTACTAAATTCCAATTTTTATTTTTTTTCGTTAAGTTATGAAAGAGTCAAAAATATTTGTTGAATGTTCAAAAGGGGCCAAATTTGAAAAAAGTACCAGACACCTGTCCTATTATTAAACTGTTATTGTAGTTTAGGAGATATAATCTTACCAAATTTACCCGTTTTTACCCCCTAAAGATTCGAATTTTCAAAAATCCCGTCTTAGTGGATCTATTTGGTTGGAGACCAACCTCAGCTTCAACCGTTTAGGCTGTGCGATGATGAATCAGTCAATCAGTCAGTCAGTAACGTTAATATTTTTTATATATAGATTAACAATTTTAATTTTTGTTGAAAAAATTATTAAATTTTCTAGAAGTAAATATTTTTTAATTAATAATTTCTTGCAACTTATAAGTACATACATATGTATTTAATAAAGTCGTAAAAGAATATTTGAAAACATTGATAAAATATTTGTTAACAAAAAAAATGAATTTAAAATTTGTAACATGATTCAGAAAACCTTAATTTTTTGCAGATTTTTCTTTAACGGCTATATAAATATGAAAACAACTCCCGATTTATTTAGTTCTTGATAAATATTTAAAAAGAAAACAATTACAAAATTCCGATATGAATTTCAAAATTTTTACTTTACCTTTGTTGATCCTAGTTGCTTTCAACGTGCCCCAGATCTCAAGTGAACTGGAAGGAGGAAACAAGGAAGCCGCAAATAAGAGACATCAATTTTGTTTTCCTTCGGAGACTTATGATATCCCTTATCCTTTTAATTGTTTCAACTATTATGAGTGTATTAATGGTGTTTTAAAACTTAAACGTTGCCCCGTTGGTCTCGCTTTTGACTGGGTTAAGCGGCTTTGTGTACCAAAAGCTGAAGCAATATGTGCTACATTTATGGAGTAACAATTTAATTGTTTAATTATTGTAATATTATTTTTTTTGCTCTATCTTATTTCTTTATCTTAATAATTTTGTTGCAAGAAATAACTTAAAAAAAAATACAATAAATAAATTTCAGAAAGTTTCTGTCTTGTGTAGACAAATTTCTAAAGAAAAAGGCTAAATTGATTTTTTTTTAAATTTATAGTTGTTTTAAACTTTAGATTAAGATATCTTTAAGAGGGAAGAAGATATAACAGAGGTTAAACCTTTAGTTAAATGTCGACCGATTGGACTTTCAGATAACATAACAAACTTTATAAATAAGGGTGTCTTCGCTCGGTTGTAAATGTGGCCCAAAACGGGGTTTTTTGAAATTTTAGGACATGATATCTCAAAAACCTGATATGATTGTGAAATTCTAAAGCCAACTTCGCACTCAGCACAGTTCAATCCTTTAGTTTGCCTTTGATTACCTTTTGTTGGCCTGTGTTATTTTTTTTCTTAAGACAAATTTTCCTTAATGAATATTGCTCTCTATTCATCAAGAAGAATTGACATCTTGGCTAGGCAACTGTTTCTTAACGAGAGATGCTCGATTCCAGATAACTTTTTCTTAAGGAATGTCCCCTCTAGGTTGCTCTCATCGAGACAACTTTTTCCTAAGAAAAGTTGCTAAACGGGAGTTGCTCTATTGTAGACAACTTTTCCTTACTCTTGAGAACTTTTCCTTAAGGAAAGTTGCTCTAATCTAGACAACTTTTGTCTTCTCTAGCCAATTTTATATAGAAAATTGTGTTGTAGACAAAATTTTTCTAGACAAGACAAAGTTGTCTAGATTAGAGAATAAGTTTCTTTAAGGAAAAGTTGTCTAGAATAGAGCAACTTTCTTTAAGGAAAAGTTGTCTAGAATAAAGCAACTTTGCTTAAGGAAAAGTTAACTAGAATAGAGCAACTTTCCTTAAGGAACAAGTTGTCTAGAATAAAGCAACTTTCCTTAAGGAAAAGTTATGACAAAGAGAGTAACTTTCTTTAAGGAAAGGTTGTCTAGAAAATAACAACTTTCCCCAAGAAAAAGTTGTCTAGAATAGAACAACTTTTCTTTAGAAATACTTTCCTATACGAAAGTAAATTTATCTTGAGGAAAGTTTGTCATTTTCGGACAACTTTTTCTTAAGCTTAGTTGCTCTCATCGAAATAACTGTTCAGACAAGGTTTCCTTAAAGAAAGTTACTCTATTTTAGACAAATTCTCCTAAAGAAAAGTTGCTGTATTCTAGACAAAAGAATTTTTTACAGAGTTTCTGTAGACAGGTTTATTTTCTATAGAGTAAAAGTTATGTTTTCTCCTTAAGTTGTCTTAAAGAGAGCAACTGTTTCTTAATAGACAGTAACAACTTTTCTCTATGAAAAGTTGCCTAGAAAAGAGTTACTTTTCATACGAAAAACTTTTCTAGAAAAAGTTGTCTTAAAGAGAGCAGCTTTCCTGGGTGAAAAGTTAAAATAGAGGAAATAGAGCAACTTTCGTTAAGAAATAGTTGCCTAACCAAGTTGCCAATTCTTCTTAATGAAAAAAGAGCAATAATAATTATGGAAAAGTTGCCTTAATGAAATCAAATCAGGGGAAACTTGCATGTTTCTTATGATTAAAACAATTTACATTTTTTTGTAATAAAAATAATTTAATTTTCAAGACGTAAATAAATTTTAATTAATAATTGTTTTGATAAAATACTTGTTAATAGACAACAATTTAAAATTTGTAACATGATTTCAGAAAAACTTAATTTGGTGATTTTTTTTAAAAGGCTATATAAATATGAAAACAAACTCTTAATTTATTTAGTTCTTGATAAATATTTAAAAAGAAAACAATTACAAAATTCAGATATGAATATAAAAATTTTAACTTTGCCTTTGTTGATCCTAGTTGCTTTCAATGTGCCCAAGATCTCAAGTGAACTGGAAGTAGCAGACGAGCATTTAACAGACGACGTAGATGATATACATATATTTTGTTTTCCTTGGCAGACCAATAATATACCTTATCCACTTAACTGTATCGACTATTACGAGTGTGCTAAGGGTATTTTAAAACTTAAACGTTGCCGCCTTGGTTTCGCTTTTGACTGGATTAAGCTGCGTTGTGTGCCAAAAGCTCAAGTAATATGTGGTATATTTGTAGATTAAGTAATTAATTAATGTAAAACTTATCTAAACCATTTTTTTCAAAATATAATAAAACTTTTAAACCAAAATAATCTACAACCTTAAATTCAATTCAAAATACAGATTAGTTTTGTCTAGAGAAATTGGTCTGATCTAGACAAATTTTTATAGAAAACTGTTTTGTCTAGACAATTTTCTATAGAAAATGGTCTGATCTAGACAAACTTCTATAGAAAATTGTCTTGTCTTGATTACTTTCTATAGAAAATTTTCTTGTTAAACAAATTACTTTAGATAAGTTTCGTATCTTATAGACAACTTTCTATAGAAAATTGCTTTGTGTAGACATATTTCTATAGAAAATGATCTTGTCTATATAAATTTCTTTATCAAAACTGTCTTGCATACAAATCTTACTTGTCATTTGCCAAATGTTCCATAAACAAAATTTCTAACAGGCATGGATAATTTAAATTTTAAAATAGTACTAAATTAGAATTAAAATAGTACTTTTTTAAGTTCTAAAGAACTAAACAAATTTTCCGCTAGACTATAGACACACTAGACAATAGACTAGACTATAGAGTAGACTATATTCTAGACTAGTCTAGACTCTAGACTACACTAGAGACAAGACTATAGACTAGACTATAGACTAAACTATAAACTAGACTATAGACTAGACCATAGACTAGCCTATAGACTTGACTACAGACTAAACCATAGACTAGACTATAGACTTGACTATAGACTAAACTATAGACTAGACTATAAACTAGGCTATATACTAGACTATAGACTAGACTAGAGACTGGACTATAGACTAGACTATAGACTAGACTAGAGACTGGACTATAGACTAGACTATAGACTAGACTATAGACTAGACTATAGACTGGACTATAGACTAGACTATAGACTGGACTATAGACTAGACTATAGACTAGACTATAGACTAGACTATAGACTAGACTATAGACTAGACTATAGACTAGACTAGACTAGACTAGACTAGACTATAGACTAGACTATAGACTAGACTATAGACTAGACTATAGACTAGACTATAGACTAGACTATAGACTAGACTATAGACTAGACTGTAGACTAGACTATAGACTAGACTATAGACTAGACTATAGACTAGACTATAGACTAGACTATAGACTAGACTATAGACTAGACTATAGACTAGACTATAGACTAGACTATAGACTAGACTATAGACTAGACTATAGACTAGACTATAGACTAGACTATAGACTAGACTATAGACTAGACTATAGACTAGACTATAGACTAGACTATAGACTAGACTATAGACTAGACTATAGACTATACTATAGACTAGACTATAGACTAGACTATAGACTAGACTATAGACTAGACTATAGACTAGACTATAGACTAGACTATAGACTAGACTATAGACTAGACTATAGACTAGACTATAGACTAGACTATAGACTAGACTACAGACTAGACTATAGACTAGACTATAGACTAGACTATAGACTAGACTATAGACTAGACTATAGACTATAGGACTAGACTATAGACTAGACTATAGACTAGACTATAGACTAGACTATAGACTAGACTATAGACTAGACTATAGACTAGACTATAGACTAGACTATAGACTAGACTATAGACTAGACTATAGACTAGAACTATAGACTAGACTATAGACTAGACTATAGACTAGACTATAGACTAGACTATAGACTAGACATAGACTAGACTAGACTAGACTATAGACTAGACTATAGACTAGACTATAGACTAGACTATAGACTAGACTATAGACTAGACTATAGACTAGACTATAGACTAGACTATAGACTAGACTATAGACTAGACTATAGACTAGACTATAGACTAGACTATAGACTAGACTATAGACTAGACTATAGACTAGACTATAGACTAGACTATAGGACTAGACTATAGACTAGACTATAGACTAGACTATAGACTAGACTATAGACTAGACTATAGACTAGACTATAGACTAGACTATAGACTAGACTATAGACTAGACTATAGACTAGACTATAAACTAGACTATAGACTAGACTATAGACTAGACTATAGACTAGACTATAAACTAGACTATAGACTAGACTATAGACTAGACTATAGACTAGACTATAAACTAGACTATAGACTAGACTATAGAATATACTATAGACTAGACTATAGACTATACTATAGATTAGCCTATTGACTAGACTATAGACTAGAGTATAAACTACACTATTAACTAGACTATAGACTTGATTATAGACAAGACTATAGACTAGACTAAATATACTGGCCTATAGATTGGTGTGTGAACTATTTATCAAAAGTTTATAAGTTAGAAAAAGTACCGAAAATGTCGTGGGGGTACCACGGCATTTTTCAATATAAAAAAGTACTGGAAAAGTACTAAAGTATTAAATTTTCCACTCCTGATATATAATGATTTTCACTTTAACAACAATCTTCTCATTTCAAATCATTTAGCATTAGATTAAACTCAGAAAAATAAAACGAAAACTAAGAGATAAAATATTGAAATGAAAGTGTGACCATTGAATGTACAAACGACCAAAATGTCTCTTTTTTTAAAAAAAAGAAAGCACAAGCCAAACAACTACTAAAATACTCTACATAATAAAAACAAATAAATGATCAGATTTTGATGTTGTATTAGTTGTTGTTGTTATTTCTTTTATTTTTCTTAAAAAAAAATATTTTTTTTTGAAAAAAAATAAAAAAGGGGCACGAAATGTATTGGACATTTGGGGAAAAAGAAATCTCCAACCTCAGACAAACTAGAAATTTTGGCAAATTAGAAGTGAGCAAACACGATACAAAGGTGGTGGACACGCAGAAAATTTCGAATTAAGCGAGACAAAAAAATAATAGAAAAACAAAAAGACATTTTTTAAAATATAAAAAAGTAAAACGTAACGGATTTTTGAAAATAAAAATAGTAAATGTAACGGTTTTTTAGGTAACGGTTAAAAAGTTTGAATAATAAAGTAATTAAAAACACCTAAAATTTTACAGTAATGAAGAAATAAATAGCAGAAAAGTAATAAATTTAAAAATTCAATTTAAGCAAAATAAATTATGTAAAGGAATATGTTTAAAAAAGTGTTTTCAAAAAGTTAATTATTTTTTAATAAAAATAATCTCAAAGTGTTTTAAAATAAAATATTTATAAATAATAAAAGATTTTAGTAAAAATAAAATAATTAAAAATTAAAAAAAATTTTTTAAAATTATGTAAAATTAAAAAAAATATATAAATTTAAAATATTTTTATAAATCGTGAAAAATTTTTAAATTTTTAACAAATTTTCAAGCGAAATTTGAAAACAAATTTTAGTTTCATTAAAAATGTGATAAAATCATTGAATTCATCGTTTTAGACAAAATCCGACATGCTCAAACATGTTTTAAACATACATATCAAAAATATCAATAATCTTTTAAAAAGAACGTGTTACAGTGTTGTGAACGAGGACATTTCAAACCTAGACCTTTAATATACCTAATCAGATCAAGTTTATTAAATAGTTTAATAATTTGCCACAGAATGCCATAACAGACCCCTTTTATATAGCGAAAGGACCAAAACTAGTCTCCAATAAAACCGCCACTAGTCGATATCCTAGTTTAGTTCTACAACACATTCATTTAAGGAAGTTAATTGCAAGTTTTCTAGAATGGAATTATGTTTTTAAAGGAACACAATTCGACGATCACAACGATCACAAATTATATACATTTGAATGATATTTAAGAAAAACTTGATAAAAGTTCGTAAATAAGTATTAAAATGGAAGTTGTGAAAAAGAACTTAAAAATTTAGTTCAGAATAATATTATAACTCTGACGATCAGTGGTAGTGCCGTCGTTATTAAACGTTTGTTATTTGGAAAAGAGTTTCAAACTGTTCTCTATTTGAGATTTAAATTAAATATTTGTTGGGAAGTCGGCTGAAGATGAAATCTGACGATCAATTACAAACGAACATTATCAAAAGATTGAAATTTTTGTGAAAGAGTTTCGTTTTGAATCATTCTTAATTTAATTGACATTTGGACAACATTATTAATCGTTCGAAATTTGAAAAGAAGTTTTCTAGTTAAGAGTAAATGTTTACTGGAAAATTGACAGAAGATAGAATCAGACGATCACTTACAATCGTCAGATTGATAAACTTTTATAATAAAATATTATTCACACTCTGAGGAACTGTTTAGTTTAGAATCTGATCAAAATTTCTATTACAAAGTTCTTCATAATCTGATCAACTAAAATTTTATTCAGGATCTGATCAACTTTTCTAGTAAAAAGGTTGTTCAGAATTTGATAATATTTCCAGTAAAATGTAAAATTTAGAATCTGATCAACTTTCCAGTATAAAGTAGTTCAGAAACTGATCAACTTTTCTGGTAAAAAGTTCTTCAGAATCTGATCAACTTTTCTAGTAAAAAATTCTTCAGTATTTGATCAACTTTTCTAGTAAAAAGTTCTTCAGAATCTGATCAACTTTTCTAGTAAAAAGTTGTTCTGAATTTGATAATCTTTCTAGTAAAATGTAAAATTCAGAATCTGATCAACTTTTCTAGTTAAAAGTTGTTCACAATCTGATCAACTTTTCTATTAAAATGTTATTCAGAATGTGATAAACTTTCTAGTAAGAAGGTATTCTGAATCTGATCAACTTTTCTAGTAAAAAGTTGTTTAGAATCTGATCAACTTTTCTAGTAAAAAGTTCTTCAGAATCTGATCAACTTTACTAGTAAAAAGTTGTTCAGAATCTGATCAATTTTTCTTTAAAAAGTTGTTCAGAATCTGATCAACTTTTCTAGTAAAAAATTCTTCAGAATCTGATTAACCTCTTCCAGTAAAAAGTTGTTCAGAATCAGATCAAATTTTCTAGTAAAAAGTTGTTCAGAATCTGATCAACTTATCTAGGAAAAAGTTATTCAGAATGTGATAAACTTTCTAGTAAGAAGGTGCTCAGAATCTGATTAACATTTCTAGTAAAAAGTCGTTCAGAATCTGATCAATTTCTATAGTAAAAAGTTGTTCAGAATCTGATCAACTTTTCTAGTAAAAAGTTGTTCAGATTCTGATCAACTTTTCTAGTAAAAAGTTCTTCAGAATCTGATCAACTTTACTAGTAAAAAGTTGTTCAGAATCTGATCAATTTTTCTTTAAAAAGTTGTTCAGAATCTGATCAACTTTTCTAGTAAAAAATTCTTCAGAATCTGATTAACCTCTTCCAGTAAAAAGTTGTTCAGAATCAGATCAAATTTTCTAGTAAAAAGTTGTTCAGAATCTGATCAACTTATCTAGGAAAAAGTTATTCAGAATGTGATAAACTTTCTAGTAAGAAGGTGCTCAGAATCTGATTAACATTTCTAGTAAAAAGTCGTTCAGAATCTGATCAATTTCTATAGTAAAAAGTTGTTCAGAATCTGATCAACTTTTCTAGTAAAAAGTTGTTCTTCCAGTAAAAAGTTGTTCAGAATCAGATCAACTTTTCTAGTAAAAAGTTGTTCAGAATCTGATCAACTTTTTTAGTAAAAAGTTATTCAGAATGTGATAAACTTTCTAGTAAAAAGTTGTTCAGAATCTGATTAACATTTCTAGTAAAAAGTTCTTTAGAATCTGATGAAGTTTTATAGTAAAGAGCAGATTCTATTCAAGTTTTCTAGTTAAAAGTCGTTCAGAATTTGATCGACCTTTTCTAGTAAAACAATGTTCTACATCTGATAAACATTTTTATTGAAAAATTGTTCTGAATCTGATGATTTTTTCCATTGGAAAGTTGTTGTGAATCTGATGAACTTTTCCAGCAAAAACTTGTTCAGATTCCGATCAAATTTTAGAGTAAAAAGTTGTTGGAAAAGTTTTTCAGAATCTGATCGAATTTTGCAATGAAAAGTTGTTTAGAATTTGATCAAGTTTTTTATCAAATCTAATAAACTTTTCTATCAAAAAGTTGTTCAGTTCCTAATCTTCTTTTCTATTGAAAAGTTGTTTTGAATCTTCTCTATGAAAAACTAGTTCAATATTTGATTAAAATTTCCAAAAGGCTTTTTAGAATGAAATTAAAATCTGTTTAGAATATGATCAATTTTTCTATGGATAAACTGTTTGACTCTTCACAAGATCCTTTTCCATAGAGAGGCTTTCTATGAAAAACTGAATTTGCGAGACTTATTCCAATTCTAATATGTATGCTTTGTTTTTTTCCTGCTGGAAAAATTTTTGTTTAAGAAAATTCAGGAATTTTTCCATTAGAAATATTAAAATAATCTATAAAAAATAATAGCTACAAGAGAAATTTTTTGTTTGTCATTAGCACAAAAATAAGTACAATCTTTTTGAAACAAATAAAAAAATCCATAAAGAACTTAATACAACAATACTTAGCTGTCATTGTCCAAAAGCATAAAAAAAGCAAATACTATTTAAAATAAATCTATTTTTGTAAACGACACACAAAAATAAATATGTATAAAAATCTCTTAAAGAAAAAACAAATACTAAATTATTAAGTTGAAAACCTGGAGAATATGACTCAATTTTCGAAAATGAAAAATTAGTGAAACAGACAAGTTGACAACAATTTGAAATAAATTTGAAAATAACAAAGAAAATAAGAACATATTCACACGCTTTATGTGACTGGAACTAGAAAACTACTAAATTTTATTTCGTTTGAGCAAAATTTTTGGGATTTATTTTGTATGTGTAGTAGTAGTTAGTTAAGTGCAGTAAATATTACCTTTGATGGGGGACTTATCTTGTTGTTGTTGTTTTTTTTTCGGTTAATACTTGTCAATGTGATTTTGGCTAATGTGATTATGTATGTATATATTTACGAAATAGCACAAATTTTTAAAAATAAATAAAAATTTACAAAAACTACAAAACAATACTGAATAAAAGAAGAAATAAATAATAAAAAAAAAACCTAGCCAAGCAAACCAGCTAAAACAGCATCCATCTAATGTCACCCATTCAGCCAGCTAAACAACAATTCAAAATAACAAAAAACAACAACGAAACATTTGCAATAAGTGTAGTACCTTTCAGCTGAATCTAGTAGTTTTCAAATAAAATATATTGGAATGAAAAAAATTCCTTTATTCATTAGATGTGATGATGATGATACATTTACATAGATATACTACACATGCAGTTGGGCCATATCCACAAACATACACATCGACATACATACATATGCTAAACATTTGTAAATGCAGTTTGTACATAATGCAAACGTTTGTATGTAAGTCTGTATATAGTGTAGTTTCAGAGGTGTGGCATTTAGGGGGTCAAAACAGGGGAGGGGGGTGTATGAAATTGAGACTAGATATTCCGAAGAAACTTTTTGTAAAGCAAGATATCTCGTAAATCTACTCTTTGTATAGAAAAGTGTGTCGCAATGTAAACTTTTTGCATAGAAAAGGTCCTAGCAAACACATATTTCAAGAGAGGAGGGTCTCGCAAATACATATTTCTAAAGTAAAAGGGTCTCGCAAAGTTACATTTTGCATAGAAAATAGTCTCACAAACATATACTTCTTAGGGAAAAGGTCTCGCAAATGCAGATTTCTAAAGGAAACTGCCTAGTAGGAAACACTTCTTTAAAAAAAGGGTCTCGCAAAGTTACTTGTTGCATAGAAAAGGGTCTCGCAAACACATGTTTCATTAGTTAAGAGTCTTGCAAAGACACAATTCTAAAGACAATTTCACTCTTCTATAGAAAATGGACTCGCATAGACATAATTCTAAAGAAAAATGTATCGCAGGACTCAGTTCTATAAAAATGGGTTACTTTTTACATAGAAAAAGTCTCGCAAACACATATCTATATAGAAAACGGTCTCGCAAATACACATATCTAAAACAAAATGCCTCACAGAATATACTTCTATAAAAAAGGGTCTCGCAAAGTTACTTTTTGCATAGAAAAGAGTAGCTCTACAGAAAAGGTCTTGCAATGACACAATTCTAAAGAAAATTTCTCTTTTCTATAGAAAATGGACCTCCCATAGACAGAGTTCTAAAGAAAAAGTCTTGCAAATACACATTACTTAAGGGAAATGCCTCGCAGCACGCACTTCTATAAAAAGAGTCTCGCAAAGTTACTTTCTACATAGAAAAAGAGTCTTGCAAACAGATAGTTCTATAGAAAAGGTCTTGCAAAGACACAATTCTAAAGAAAATTTCAATTTTATATACAAAATATACTCCCATTGTAGAGTTCTAAAGAAAAAGTCTTGCAAATAAGCATTACTTAAGGGAAAGGACTCACTTCTATAAAAACGGTCTCGCAAATTTACTTTTTACATAGAAAAGAGTCTCGCAAACACATATTTCTACAGAGTAGGACTTGCAATGACATGGATAGACACATTTCTATAAAAAACTGTCTCACCAATTTTAAAGAAAAGAGTCTCACAAAGATACATTTCTAAAGAACAATGCCTTGAAAAGAGAAATTTCCATGGAAAAGGGTCTCGCAAATATTTTCTCAAATATATATTTGATCTCGCAAAGACATATTTTTCAAGAAAAGTGTCTCACAAAGTCATTTGTCTATAGCAAATTGAATCGCAAAGACGTTTTTCTGTAGAAAAGAGTCTGGCGTAGAAACATTTAAAAGAAATAGGTCTCGAAAACACTACTTTCTATAGAGTAGTGTCTCGCAAAGGCATTTTTCTATAGAGCAGTGTCTCGCAGAAACATTTTTCTATAGTAAAGTGTCTCGCAAAGCTATACATATTTGTTAAGAAAAGGGTTTCGCATATAAATTTCTCCAAAGACATTTTTCTATAAAGAAGGTCTCACAAAATAACATTTCAAAGACTTTTTTTCTATATAATAGTATCCCGCAGAGACATTTTCCTATAGAAAAGTGTTTCGCACAAACATTTCTCTATAGAAAAGTGGCTCGTAAAATTATATTTGTAAAGAAAGAGGTCTCGCAAAGACATATTTCTATAAAGATTTCAAAAGAAGATACCCCTTTCTCTCGGAAAGTGTCTCGAAAAAAACTAATTTCTTTAAGAAAAGTTATTTAGATACTTTTAAAATCACTTAATTACCCTTTGTTTTAGTCATTCTCGCAAAAATCACTTTAAATTCCATTCCCTCCCTTTAAACTACGCCTTTTCAAAATAAATTTCAAAAAAATATTGAGGTGTCTCCAAGTATTTTACGACTTATTGTGTAGCCATTAGAAAAAAAAAAAGATTTTTATTTTTCTGAAGGAAAAACAAAAATGCATTCGCTAAATTAAAATTGGCTAATACATACAATTGTTGTTGTTGCTTGAACCGGTAAAAATAGCAGCCCTCGGACAAAAAAAAAAACTGAAAATACATACACATGCATTACAAAATCTAAGTATTTCAACACAAAATAATATAAATCCACAACATATAGAACAGTTTTTGGTGGACAAAGAGATTTAATGTAAAAGATAAGCGAAAGAAAATTTTGAACAAAAAAACAAATTTGACAATTGAAATAAATTGACAAACTTTTTTTAATATATAAAAAAAAACGAAAAACTATTAAAACTAAATTTAAATTAATTAAAGATCAGACCCTAACCAACAAATAACTTTAAGAAAGATTCTTTAATTTTTTATAAATTCCCATAAATTTCTATAAATCATTATCAATAAGTGATATTTAATTTGCAATCATTATATACCACACGACGTATACTTAATAAATGTTTAGCTTATCACTTAAATTACTCATACTCTTACTATCTCGCTCGCTCCCTCTCTCAAAAACAAACACTCTCTATGCAAGAAAATCTTTGTAAAACAAAAATAAAACAAAATCAAATTTTGGCCAAGAACCTACAAAACAAAACAAATAAACAGTTAATATAAACAAAAGAGAGAAAATGGCTTTCTCTCTCTCTTTTAAATAATATCTTTTAAAACACACTCATTTAACACATAATAACAAAACAAATAAACAGGCATTTTATTGATGTCATTGATGATTTATCTTTAAAATGTTTATGTTGTTGCTGTTGTTATTATGTTTGTTAGTGCGTGAGTTTGTTTTTTTAAGTTTGCGCGCCAATTTGAAAACTTAATAATATTCTTTGTAAATTTTAAATTTTATAGTAAATTTTATGACTTAAATCTTTATAAATTCTAAAATTAATGTTAAAAAAAAAACAATATTAAAACTAAATTATGGAACATAATAATGCAACAACAACTTCAACAACGAATTTGCGCCAACAGCAGCAGCAACAACAACAACAATCGTCTAGAGAACAACAATTAACACAAAAATTACAAGAGCAACAGCTTCATCACCAGCAACAACAACAAACAAATAATAACAACAATGAAAATCAACAACAATTTTGCTTAAGATGGCATAATCATCAGGTAAGTAATATATTTTTCTATGAAATTAAATGACAAATTTTATTAAAAATAGAAATTTTCCAAAGAAATTTTATGAATTGTTAAATAATGTAATGCAATAAAAGAAAAAACCTAAGCACACAAAACCATAATCTTTAGTTTAATGGAAAAATTCAAAGATTTCTTTAGGAAATTTAAAAATAATTGGACACTGATGGCAACATATCAATTTATACATACAGTATGAAATAACCTAAGCATACAGTTTCTTATAAAGAACTAATGTTATATGAATGTATATGTCAACACCGTAGAACAACAAAGATCTTCTATGGTGCCAAACTGTCTGTTTGACTACAATAGTTCAATGAAAGATAACAAAGAATATCACTCACTAATGGTGAATGCCTTTGTTGAAAACAAGTTTAGCTAGACTATAGACCGGGCTATAGACTATAGACTAGACTATAGACTGGACCATAGACTAGACTATAGACTGGGCCATAGACTAGACTATAGACTGGGCTATAGACTAGACTATAGATTAGACTATAGACTAGACTATAGACTAGATTATAGACTAGATTATAGACTAGACTATAGACTAGACTATAGACTAGACTATTGACCAGACTATAGACCAGACTATAGACTAGACTAGACTATGAACTAGACTATAGATTAGACTATAAACTGGATTATAGACTCGACTATAGACTACACTATAGTCTAGACTACAGACTAGACTATAGACTAGACTGTAGACTAGACTGTAGACTAGACTGTAGACTAGACTGGAGACTAGACTATAGACTAGACTATAGATTAGACTATAGACTAGACTAGACTATAGACTAGACTATAGACTAGACTATAGACTAGACTATAGACTAGACTGTAGACTAGACTATAGACTAGACTATAGACTAGACTATAGACTAGACTATAGACTAGACTATAGACTAGACTATAGACTAGACTATAGACTAGACTATAGACTAGACTATAGACTAGACTATAGACTAGACTATAGACTAGACTATAGACTAGACTATAGACTAGACTATAGACTAGACTATAGACTAGACCATAGACTAGACTATAGACTAGACTATAGACTAGACTATAGACTAGACTATAGACTAGACTATAGACTAGACTATAGACTAGACTATAGACTAGACTATAGACTAGACTATAGACTAGACTATATACTAGACTATAGACTAGACTATAGACTAGACTATAGACTAGACTATAGACTAGACTATAGATTAGACTATAGACTAGACTACAGACTAGACTATAGACTAGACTATAGACTAGACTATAGACTAGACTATAGACTAGACTATAGACTAGACTATAGACTAGACTATAGACTAGACTATAGACTAGACTATAGACTAGACTATAGACTAGACTATAGACTAGACTATAGACTAGACTATAGGCTAGACTATAGACTAGACTATAGACTAGTCTATAGATTAGTCTATAGACTAGACTATAGACTAGACTATAGACTAGACTATAGACTAGACTATAGACTAGACTATAGACTAGACTATAGACTAGACTATAGACTAGACTAGACTAGATTATAGACTATAGACTATACTATAGACTAGGCTATACACTAGATTATATACGAGACTATAGACTAGACTACAGACTAGAATATAGACTATAGGCTTGACTACAGACTAGACTATAGACTAGACTAGGGACTAGACTACAGACTAGGCTACAGACTTGACTATAGACTAGACTATAGACTATAGGCTAGACTACAGACTAGACTATAGACTAGCCTAGGGACTAGACTACAGACTTGACTATAGACTAGACTATAGACTAGACTATAGACTAGACTATAGACTAGACTATAGACTAGACTCTAGACTAGACTATAGACTAGACTATAGACTAGACTATAGACTAGACTATAGGCTAGACTATAGACTAGAGTATAGACTAGACTAGACTATAGACTAGACTATAGACTAGACTATAGACTAGACTATAGACTAGACTATAGACTAGACTATAGACTAGACTAGACTAGACTATAGACTAGACTATAGACTAGACTATAGACTAGACTATAGACTAGACTATAGACTAGACTATAGACTAGACTATAGACTAGACTATAGACTAAACTATAGACTAGACTATAGACTAGACTATAGACTAGACTGTAGACTAGACTATAGACTAGACTATAGACTAGACTATAGACTAGACTATAGACTAGACTATAGACTAGACTATAGACTAGACTATAGACTAGACTATAGACTAGACTATAGACTAGACTATAGACTAGACTTTAGACTAGATAGCCTAGACTATAGACTAGATACTTACTAGACTATAGACTAGATACTTACTAGACTATAGACTAGATACTTACTAGACTATAGACTAGACTATGGAGTAGACTATAGTCTAGACTCTGAACTAGACTATAGATTAGACTAGAAAATAGAAAAATTTCTCCAAATATCATTTAAAAACAGTTTTCTATATAAAAATGTCATGTTAAGACTGTTTCCTATAAGAAAAGTGAAAATATCAAAAAAAAATTTAAATTTTCCTTAAAAATTATGTTTTTTTCTTTAATAATTTTGGAAAAGTTTTCCATTAATTTTCATTTTACATTTTTTTAATAACCCATAAATTTCGCTCATAAAACGTGGATTTTTTTCTTTTTCCATTCAATTTATTTATAAAAAAAAACACACATACATACATTTGTATATGTTGGTATATTTAAAAAGAAAAAAGTTGTCAAATGACTGGACATTTTGCGCTTACTAAAAATGTTCAAAATGTCATTTGCTATAAAAGAAAAATAAATAAATATCCAAAAAAATACTATTTTTATACACAAGAAGAAAAAAAATAATTTGTTTTAGTTTTTTTTTGCTAGTGGTGTCCATAAGCAATGGATTTTTACTAGGAAATTTTTGCGCTTATGGGACAAAATTTTTATTTTTAAATTAAAAAAAAAAATACATCGAATTTGGATGAGCTTCAATGTGCAAATAGCTAAAGATTGTGTCTGTTTGTTGGTGTATTCGACAATCCAAAATTTTGTCTGTAAAAATAAAATTAACAAAACTGTTGAAGCGCAGGAAAGCCAGAAAGAAACAAAATACAAATAAAAAATTTGTGCAAGCAATTTGCCAAAAAACAAACAAACAAACAAACACTATCCAAAATATAATTTAAAATGAAAAATCATATTCAAATGCAAAAAAACTTGTGAAAACTACTTTGGCTGTTGCAATATTTTGAAATGTGTGTAAGAAAATATTTGGACAGTTTTAATGAAATGAGATTTATTAATATTTGGAAACACTCGCAACAAATATTAGACACAACATATTTTCTGTTTTAATTACATTTAGATTTTTTAGAAAAATAAGAAAAAAACATCTTAAATTGACAGCAGGCAAAAGAAATAAAGGGACTAAAAATTGTCGGTGTTTGTTTTAAAATTTAATAAGAATTCTACATACGACTGTGCCGAATCTTGTATACCCTTCTTAATAGTTTCTTATATTTTTTATCATACATAATCTTCCATCCCTGACTTTAACGTTAACTTTGGCAATAACAAAGCAATAACAACATACAGCTTTTATACACAAGCCAAACTAAATGCAACAACAACATATAACATACGTACATATGTTTCTGCGTGTTGTTGTTGTTTTCATTGTGTTTACATGGAAAAATTTCACTATATTTTTATGAGTAGTTTCGGAATTTTGCTCATATCTTTGTTATTTATGGACCGATTTTGCTGATTTTGAATAGGAATCATCGCAAAAGCATATCTGATAGAATTTTAAAGGATTTGGATCTCGAAGATATCTGTTGTCTTCGAAAAATTGTTTTCAACAAAACAAAAAGACATACGGACGGATGGACAGACAGACGGACATCGCTAAATCGACTATCTATAAAGATATAGAATATTACATTGTGAAAATTACATCTTAAAAGCATGCCTGATAAAAATGTAAAATACTTGGTTCCCGGAGATATAAGGGGTCTTCAGAAAATTCATTTCAACAAACATGTAGATAGACGGCCTGACAGACAGACGAACATCGTTAAAACCACTATCTATAAGAATTCAGAATATTATATTATTAAAATTACAAACGCAATGACAAACTTATATACTTATACCCCTGTAGGGTATACGAATTATTACTAAAATAAAGTGTTGAAAGAGATTTAAATTTATTTTAAAACAAAATTTGCCTAAATTCTTAAAAATGTCTTTCTTTTTCTTGTTTTTTCTAAATTACAGACCAGTTTATTAAGTACACTGCCCGTATTACTTGATCAAAGTCATTTAACAGATGTCACTATATCAGCCGAAGGACGCACTTTACGTGCCCATCGTGTGGTTTTAAGTGCTTGCAGTTCTTTCTTTTTGGAAATTTTTCGCACTCTAGAATCGACTCATCATCCGGTTATTATAATACCCGGGGCCTCTTTTAATGCCATTGTATCGTTGCTAACGTTTATGTATTCGGGTGAGGTGAATGTGTATGAGGAACAGATACCTATGCTTTTGAGTTTGGCCGAGACTTTAGGCATTAAGGGTTTGGCAGATGTGCATAATAATGTGAGTTGTTATTTTGAATAGAATTTAAAACTTTATTTACAATTTATGTTACTTTAGTTACAGAAACCTTGTAAAACCCCGGCAGACAAAGAACCTTTACATAGTCCTAAGGAGGAATTGCTGAAATCACCCACGCCCCCTTCTCCACCGCCTACTGCAGCCTCCTCAACTGTTAACTTTACTTTGCCTACCACACCCGCCTCTTCAGCCAATTTAAATAACTCGTTGCCGGCAGCCAATTTTAATCCTCTTTTATCTACAAAATTTCCCTCTCCCTTGGAAAATTTCTTTTTGAAATCTTTACAATTCTATCCCAATCTAATGCACCAGCCTTTGAACTTCTCCCAAACTGCCTTAAATAAGACTTCGGACCTATTGGCCAAATATCAACAACAATGTAATCTTTATCAAGCCAATATGGCTATTACTCCCAAAGACTTATTGCCCTCCCTCATGCACTCGGAGGAAGATTTACAAATGGCCAAAAGATTTTGTTCGGGTTTGGATAAGAAAACTGCTCTCAGCTCCCAACAATTGCAGCAAAATCAGCTTTCTCTACAGCAGCAAAAAGACATCAAACGTATCGACAAAATAGTGAAAAATTTGCGTGTTTCAAGTAACGCCGCCAGTGGTAGTGCGAGCTCTAGCAGTAAACTTGAAAAGGGGGCATCTGATAATTTAAGCAACTCCCCCTTATCAACACATTTACATGCACAACTTTCGCCCTTAAGCATTAAAACTTCTATGGATAACTACAGCTCCACTCCCTCTCCCTTAATCAACAGCAAATCTTCACTCTTCTCGAACACTAGCAACACCGACACCTCTAGTCCTTTGCACTCACAATTACCCTATAATATCTCGCCCGAGGATCAATTGAAACTACAGCAACATTTAGATAAATATGCTCAATCTTGTGCTCGCACCATGGAAGTGGCCAATGAAAGTTTAAAAAATGAGGCGGCCAGATTAATGTCTAATGAAAAACTTAGCTCCTCCCAGAGTCCACAAACTAAGCCTCCTTCCAACTCAAAATTATATGCCACTTGTTTTATTTGTCACAAACAATTGAGCAATCAATATAATTTAAGAGTGCATTTGGAAACGCATCAAAATGTGAGGTTAGTTTGTATAGCATTCAAAACAATTTAAACAAATTAATAATTTCCATAATTTTCTTTAAAGATATGCCTGTAATGTTTGTTCTCATGTCTCGCGCAGTAAGGATGCTTTGCGTAAACATGTTTCCTACAGACACCCGGGGGCTCCCTCGCCCTGTGAAACTGAGGCCAGAAGGAAAAGGGCCAATAAGGTTTTAGCCTCCCAGTTAAATGCTGCTGCAATGGCTCATACCTCACCCTCCTCGGGGGAGGTAACACCCACCTCACCCAATACTTTAACACATTTTCCCACAGCCTCTACCACCAGCAGCAGCTCTACAACAAATGATTTGAATTGCAATGAAAGTTCCGCTTTAACAGCCGCCCAATTAAGTTCAGCCTATCAAATGTTTATGCCCAATCAATTTCATTTAGCGGCTGCGGCAGCTCAACAACAACAGCATCAACAACAAACAAACGAACAACAATCACCAAACTGTTCAGTGGCTTCTTTACCTCCGAAAGATTTTAGCCATAATTTAAGCTCTGCAACCTCCTCCTCCACCACTTCCACATTTTTAAATAACACACCATGTAGTCCTTCACACGAAAACACGAAATCATCCCCCGTACCCACCAATAATTCTACAACCTCTCCTCACAATCCTAACGATCTTTCTAATCCGACGAATACTAATAATGTAGAAGCGAGCTTAAGTCCTAATTTGAATACTTCTAATTAAGGACTTTTTAGAAGATAATTAATGTTTTCTTTGGGAAAACAAATTAGCTAAATACCACCGCTATGTTACTTTACTTTAAAAAAAAAAAACCTTCCCAATGTCTAGTCCCAACTGTGATATATTTGAAAAAAGTCATCATTTTGTTAAAAACTTTTAAACTTTCCCAAAAAAGGACTATTGTGTGAAGAAAATAAAGATTTTGAAACTTTTTCTTTAGATTAAAGGCTAGTCTACGGTTTAGTCTATAAAATAGTCTATAGTCTTTTCTATAGTCTAGTCGATAGTTTAGTCTATAGAATAGTCTATAATCTAGTGTTTAGTCTAGTGTATAGTCTATAGTCCAGTCTATAGTCTAGCCTTTGTCTAGTCTATAGTCTATTCTATAGCCTAGTCTTTAGTCTATGCTATAGTCTAGTCTATAGTCCAGTCTATAGTATAGTCTATAGTCCAGTCTATAAATTAGTCTTCAGTCTAGTCTATAGTGTAGTCTATACTCCTGTCTATAGTCCAGTCTAAAATCTTGTCTATAGTCCAGTCTATATTGTAGTCTATAGTCTAATCTATAGTCCAGTTTATAGTCTAGTCTATAGTCTACTCTATAGTCTATATTTATCTAGTTTCTTCTCTTCTCTTTAGTTTTTTCACAAAGTTTACGCTTTATCTCTTTCAACACAATAGTTCTTCTCAAATTTTGTCTTATTATGTTATTTAATAATTCCTTTCTTATTATTTAATATTTAAAATATTGGAGGCTTATCTTAGTTTTAAATTACTAGTTGATTTATGTTTCTTTACAAAAGATTTTTTGTTAATTATTGACTCCTATGGCGTATAAATGGATAATAGACTTATTCATGTTTCCCCTAAGCAAAAAACTAAAAATATCACGAATATTCCATGAAATTTTCAATGGTTTACATAATTCCATATTTCGATTTTTGTTTCACTCGAATATTCCGCAAAAGTCAATTTTGTTTCTAAAGAGCAGATTGATAATAGTGTTTTTCTTCAACTCGGGCCAAAATTTCCGAGTATCACGAATATTCCGTGAACTCTTCATCTAATTGCTGATGTTATTTCTTAAAATCTGAAAATTGCTTGCAAAATTTCTTCGCAAGAATACACAATTCTTTTATCGTTAAAGCGAACAAAATATGCTAGTATCACGAATATTCCTAGAACATTTTAATGATTTAAATAATTTTATCCTAAAATTTCTCTGCAGTTTCAAGATAAAACTTTGGAGAATGTATAAAGGAGAAAAGCAATGCTAATTCAATTAAAATTTTATTCGCCATGGGAGATGTTTATTTCTAGCCTTTAGTTGATTTTAAAGTTTATAAAAATGCAACATAAAATGTAACCATTCACTCAATCACATACACATTGTACACGTTTTCTACACTCTTTAGTTTAGTTTTTAAGTTAAGACAAAAACAAATTTTATACACTACATACACACATATACACCACTATGCACACAAAAGACAAATTTATACTATGTTTTCTTTTAAATTAAATTAAAAAAAAATAATATTGAAAATAAAAACAAAATTGTTTGGAACAAAAAAATGAAATAGTGTTGAACATTTTTAAGGCGGAACAGTTTTCCGAAATGATTGAATTGTAAGGAAAATGTTTAAAGCATTTTCTTGAGATTTAAGAAAAGGTAACTCATCAGGTGACAGATACGATGATACTCGCCCCTATTCTGAATTCAATCCGAATTGGAATTTTATTCAACAGTTCGGTTCGATGGTCCTTTACTAGTTGTTGCTAATGCGGAAACGTAATCAAAATGCGGAACAGAGGGGACTATTGAATACATACGTAAGTAAGAGTAAGTAAGTAGTAAGTAAGTAAGTAAGTAAGTAAGTTAAGTATTAGTAAAGTAAGTAAGTAAGGAATAAGTAAAGTAATATTAAGTAAGTAAGTAAGTTAAGTAAGTAAGTTAAGTAAAGTACGTACGTAATTAAGTCCGTCCGTCCGTCCGTTCGTCCGTCCGTCCGTCCGTCCGTCGTCCGTCAGTCCGTCCGTACCGTCAGTCCGTCCGTACGTCCGTCCGTCCGTTCCGTTCCGTCCGTCCGTCCGTCCGTCCGTCCGTCCGTCCGTCCGTCGCGTCCGTCCTCGTCCGTCCGTCCGTCCTCCGTCCGTCCGTCCTTCCGTCCGTCCGTCCCGTCCGTCCGTCCGTCCGTCCGTCGTCCGTCCGTCCGTCCGTCCGTCCGTCCGTCCGTCCGTCCGTCCGTCCGTCCTCGTCCGTACGTCAGTCCGTCCGTCCGTCCGGTCCGTCCGTCCGTCCGTCCGTCGTCGTCCGTCCCTCCGTGTCGTCGGCCGTCCGTCAGTCCGTCCGTCCGTCCGTCCGTCCGTCCGTCCGTCCGTCCGTCCGTCCGTCCGTCCGTCGTCCGTCCGTCCGCCGTCCGTCCGGCCGTCCGTCCGTCAGTCCGTCCGTCCGTCCGTCCGTCGTCCGTCCGTCCGTCCGTCCGTCCGTCCGTCCGTCCGTCCGTCCGTCGTCCGTCGTCCGTCCGTCCGTCCGTCCGTCCGTCGTCCGTCCGTCCGTCCTCCGTCCCGTCCGTCCGTCCGTCAGTCCGTCAGTACGTCCGTACGTCCGTCCGTCGTCCGTCCGTCCGTCCGTCGTCCGTCCGTCCGTCCGTCCGTCCGCCGTCCGTCCGTCCGTCCGTCCGTCCGTCCGTCCGTCCGTCCGTGCCGTCCGTCCGTCCGTCCGTCCGTCCGTCCGTCCGTCCGTCAGTCCGTCCGTCGTCCGTCCGTCCGTCCTCCGTCCGTCCGTCGTCAGTACGTCACGTCCGTCCGTCCGTCAGTCCTTCGTCCTTCCGTCCTTCCGTCCGTCCGTCCGTCCGTCGTCCGTCGTCTGTAAGGTAGTACGTCAGTAACGTAAGGAATAGTCGTGCCTATAGTCCAGTCTACTATATAGTCGAGCCAAAATTTCTGTATATGATCTGGTCGGTAGTCTAGTATATAGCCTAGCCTGTTGTCCAGTCCATATTTTACTATATAGTATAGCCTATAGTCATGTCTATAGTCTAGTCTATAGCCTAGTCTATAGCCTAGTCTACAGTCTAGCCTAAGGATTTTCATACAGTCTAGCCTAAGGACTTTCATAGAAATATATTACATAACGTCTAGTCTACACTCTGGAATAAAGTTTCGTATATACTCCAAACTACAATATACTCTGTAGTTACAGTCTACAATCTTGTATTGCCTTCAATCTTGTCTATAGTCTAGTCTATATTATAGATTTTAGTCTTGTCTATATTCAAGCATTTAGTGTAGTCTACACCCTAATATATAGTATATTTTTTAGTCTTAATATATAGCCTTCTCTAAAGCCTAGTGAGTAAATAAGAAGTAATATATATTCCTAGGAATATTCATAGGACTAACTATTAAGTTGTTAATCAAATATTAAGAAAAAATGTAGCTTTATCAAGCCAATTTCGCCATGATACTAAGGACTTATTGTTCTTACTAATGCTCCCAAAAGATATCAAATTAATGACATATATAATATGTAGTAGATAGAATTCAGCCATTCAATATTTAAGGATATTGTATCGTTTAACAAAAAACTAGCTCTTACGTAAGAGTTGTATTTAAATTTTTGGTATTATAATAAGATTACCCAAAAAATGTCATACATACCTGTGAAACTTGCTTATTTTGTTAGTAGATGAAAATGTGAAATTAAAAATGAATTTTTGAACTGCTTTGAAATGATTGAGATGAGATTTCTATAGTTTAAAGAGTCTTGAATTAGTTTAAAGTCTTGAGTCTTGAATAAATCTTGTTTAAATAAGTAACTTGATTGAAGAATAACTTGTTTATCTATAAAACACAAAGAAAAATTAAAAAAAGTCCTTAAAAAATATACTTAAATATTACCTTTTAACTTAATATATGTTTTCTTGATTTAAATGGATCACTTTGTAAAAAAAATTATTGCAAAATATGTTTTTTTTTATTTTGTTTTTTTGATATAAAATTTACGCTTCCAAAAACGTAGTTAGAATTAGAATAGAAAAAAGAGTGTATTTGTTTTGGTTTTTAAAGCAAATTGAAAGAAATCTACAATTAAAAAGAAACATAAAATAATTACAAAACAGAATAAATTGAAAATATAAGAAAATAAATTAAAAAAAAAAATACGAACTTTTCTTTTGAATACTTGGTAAACTTATAAACAAATGCAAACGTAAAACAGGGCAGGAGTGGAAGTAGTTGTAATGATAACAGGGCAAAATTGAGAATATAAAGTTACAAATAAAATGCATTAGATGAAAACTTTCGAGGAAAGCCAAGAAAAATGAGTAGTAGTAGTAGTAGTTAATAATTTGTGTGTTTGTTTTAAAGATACAATTAATTGAGCATAAAGAAACACATTTATTTCAATTAAATGGTTTCAACATGCCAGACTTTGGTATTACAATCTTGACCGGTAGAGATCACAGTGTTATTGTCCAACCATACTAAACGAGTAATTTGAGATTGAGGATGAGCGTCTAAGGGAAAAAGAAAAGGAAAAAAATTACAATTTTGTGGGAGATATTAAGAAAAGTGAAAAACTTACTTTTAATGATGGTATGTTTGCTAGGATTAGACACCGACCAGATGATAATAGTGGTATCCAAAGAACCACTAGCCACTAAAAGAGAATTAGGTGACCAGGCCACTGTATTAACTTTAGCATTATGGAAGCCCCATTCTTTATTATGAGCTGGTTTATATTCCTCCACTGAATACAATACAACTTTACGGTGAGCATCACAAGCCACCAAATACTTATTGTCGGGTGAGTAGGTGCAGTCGGTAACAGCACCCAAATGTTCCAATTCGCATTTCAACTCCAAGCTAGTACCCTTTAAAGAGTAAACACGTAATTTTTGATCATCACCGCCTACAGCAATTTCCAGGGTTTCAGGATTGGCAGTAATACTGCTGGCTTCGTATTTAATGGGTAAAGAGAAGACTTTCTTTTGATCTTGGACCAAAGTGATTTCCTTGACACAGGCCAAGGCAATAATGTTTTCGTTGCGTAATATAGCCAAACCACGGGGTTGGCAATTTAGTTTGACTACATAGTCGGTGAAAGCATTGGATTCAATGCTAAATTGACGTAAACTATCATCAATGCCGCAGGTGTAGACAAAATCACCCCAAGCAGCAATGCCGTTCATCTGGTTTAAAGGAAGTTACAACAATTAATTGACAAGTTCCCTTTGATTTTTAAGAAATCTTAACTTACTTGATTACCATGTCCAGCACCCTGTACACGATCATTAACACCACTTCCTGAATTCCAGCTAGTAACAACACCATCATGACTACCAGTATAAATAGTGCTACGATCATCACTTAAACCCAAAACAGTAATAGGTTTATTATGACCTTTAATAACACGCAAAGGTTTGGTAGGATCATTAACATCCAAGTAGCTAATGTTACCGGACAAGGAAACAGTTAATAAATGCTCTCCTTGCCACAAACAAGACACCTGTTGATCATCTACGGTGGTGCCCATAACAAATTCTGAGATCAATTCTCTAGTCTCAACATTCCACAAACGGCAAGTCTTATCACCGGAACAGGTTAACAATTGGGTACCATCGGGTTTCCATGCCACAGCATAGACACCGCCCTTATGAGCAGGACTGCCAAATTCACCTATCAATTCCGAAGTGGCTCCGTCATACATAAAAACTTTGCCATCAAAACCAGCAGAGGCAAAGTATTTGCCATCGGGCGAATAGCGTACGGCTTGCACGAAACGTGAGTGTTCCTGTTTGGTCATTTTGAACTTGAAGGGTGGACCCTCGAAAATGCCAATGGTGTTGTCTTCACTGCCTGTTATAAAAATAAATAAATTTTGAATAATTTTCGATTTCCTTGGGAGAAAAAGATAAATCTTACCTGTTACTATACGGAAAGGTCTAGCGGGTCTA